TTACCATGTCATCTTTTGTCTTTTAACTTTAGCATCTTTCCAAATTTAGATTTCCACTCTTCCACTAGATTCTGCAGGTTTAGTTTTCCATCACTGGAAGTTACAGATTGTTTTCTGTGGAAAAATACAGAAAATGGGATTTCTTCACTTTCTTGGCAGATAAGAGGGCTGAATTTCCTTACGGCTTCCTGTGTGTCTCTGTGGTTAAAATGATCCGTTCACTTCTACCTAATTACTTTCTGGGACTTACCAAAAATTATGACCTCCTGAGGAATTAAGTTGGAGCTCTCTTCATGATGTAGTAAAATCATTTTGCCTGGAAATCTTCAGGAAATGACTGGAGCACTTCTGGGAATGAATTGCATACTGCCTTGGTTGCTTACCTTGGTTTAGCAACTCTGTTAATTTATCACTTTCTGGTCCTTTGTTCTAACGATGGCATCTTTCATATGTGCATGTAAAATACATACACAGAAAGTGTATAATCTTTTCTTTATCATTTTCCTTGGTTTTGTAGGTCTGATGTTATTTGTGTTTACTGAGCAAAGTATCAGAGAAGCATGAGTACATCCAAGTCTGCTTTTACTCTCTGGGCAGTCACTGACAGGCCATTATAGCTATTGCAATGCATGTATTTCCGAGTAGGTTGTTATGTCACGAAGTTGCATAAAAGGAGCTACTAGATTGTGGTCAGAAATTTTTCCCCCAGTTTCATCAAGTCTGTCTCAGCTGCTACAGACCACCCAATACTGTAAAGTTCCTGAACACATTTCTCAGTGCATGATCTGCTTGCGTTAGTCTTGCATCTAACACAAAAGCTACCATAGCTACAGCAGAGAAAGATTTTATTTCAAAGAGCTGCTTTACAAACCAAATCACCAGAAAGCACTTTGTCTTGCATGCCTCCTGTTTGGAGCACCTAATAAAATGAGTTCTTTCTCTGACAGTTTTATTTGTAGCATAGGAAAGTTACCTGCACGCCCATTTTTTCTTCCTGTGAAAATCAATTTGCATCCACATAAAAGTCCCTACACATTATGAAATTGTTCTCAAACAAAACTTTGCATTAGGAAATGTTGCTGTTCAGACTGATTCCTCCCCTCTCGCCCAGTTTTCTACAGCTCTTTTTAAATTTCCAGTCACATGTCTTTTTCCTCAGCTCTGTCCAGAGTAGTCTGGCTTGGGTGAATTCTGTCTTAAATGAAACCTATCCATGGAATATGTTCAGTGGTGGAAGTAGCATTGTACACATCAATGGAGTTGCTGCCTCCTTTGACCTGAACAGACTGTTGATCTGGTGATTCACTCACTCTGAGCCCTTTCTTCTTCCCTGCTGGATCACTATACAGGATTGCTTATCTGTTACGGGTGGTTCCTTGCTAGGTGTTTTGGGATTAGGCTAGCACAATCATGTTCACATTGTGTAGTCATTTAGCAGCTGTCAGGTAGTACTGACTTTTAGGTAATTATGGACAACCTTGGATGAAGGGATTCTTTCTTGCCTTTTTTCAGTTCCACCAAAATGATGTTCATTGGGCCTCCGTTCTCAGGTAATCCATGTGGCATACGAAAGAGCTGAGTTACAAGTTTTCAAAACCCATTAGTCTATGCACAGTCTGACACAAATGTATTTCTCTTTCAAATAAAAATAGAAACATAACAATATTTTCTGGTTATTATTAGGTATAAATTTCATGTTCTGTGTTTCTCTGTAAAGAGAAAATTCAGCTTTTCATGTATTTACTACATTAAATGGAGAAACATGATGATGATGCAGGATACAGACATTTTGGGTGTCTCCACTTTTTTCTGTTTCATGTTAATCATGCACAAAATATAAAAAATAACATCATTTCTGGACAGCATGTGGTCACAATTGAACTGATTTTTAGTCTTTCAGATAAAGCTGCTACTGAAACTAGGTACTTAAAGCAGACAGTTTCAATAATGAAACTGTTGTTTCTTGAAAACCTGATTTAAGGAAATTAAGTTTGATTGGTAATGCCACCTCTTATTCATTACATATGGGTTTATAAATTACTTAGAATCTGGAATCCAAATTGCAATTAAATCTGCCCACATCCTAATTAAGGATTACAGATGCGTACTGGAGTATATCAGTATATTTCAGGGGGGGCACAGAGAGGGGAAAGCCAGAAATTATCCAGGTATATAAACTTTTTTTTTTTTTAATAAAAAAAAGAGAAAAGGTTTCTGTACCTGTAACAATTTAACTATTTACTGCAAGAAAAAAAAGCATTTCCAATCAACTTCTGCTATCAGTCCATTGTTGTTTGTGTAGAATGGCATTTGGTTCTAGTAAAACCCCACAAGCAGGAAATAGATTTTTTCATGGAAACATATTTTTTAATGCCAAAAAATAGCTGAGAAATAAAGGCTGTGATTCAGCAAAGTCCTTACCATCATGGCTAATTTTGACATGATAATTTCTAAGGCAGTGAACAGGATTTGACTCTGCTAAATTGCGTATTGTTCACATGCAGTGTTTGCACTAATATTTCAGCATTTAAATTAGTTAAATGTATTTTTACATACATCTATATTTAAAGTTTCTGTCACAGTACTGCCACTTACCTTCACATAGATGTTTGAAGGTGTTTTAATTCAGTCTTTTCTTAGAAAATTCTAAGAAATCTTTTTCACTTTTGATGTTCATAGTAAAAGCACTAATCTTGGTTGGTTGGTTTGGGGTTTTTTGTGAGTATGGGTTTTTTTTGTGTGTGGGCAGACTTTTTGGTCAGGGAAGTTGAGATGAAGCAATTTCCTTAAAACAAGCTTTATTAAACCAATTGCATGTTGGATCCATTTCTGTGGGCAGTTGCAATGGGTTTTGTCAGTAGAAATAAGTTCTAAATTGTCACTATGATAGTGGTGGCATCCTGCTTAACATGATATTGCAGATATTCAGCAGCCTCAGGACTAGTTTTGAGTTTATTTAATAAGTTGATCAGTATGACCCATTATATTTTCTGTTTCTATTTACTGAGGCTGTATTTGTTGCTCTTTCTGATATAGTGTAGGCTTTTCATGCCAGGGTTTTTGAGAATGCTGGACAGTCAGCTGCCTTTACCCTGGCACAGCATGAAACCCAGATACATCCTTTTTTGTTATTGGCTTCATGATGATTTATTGGTGTGCCCCTTCCAGGAAAGTAATTGTCAAGCTTCTTGTTTTTGAAATGACTTTTCTGGACAAGGATAAACATAGTGCTGTTTCAAAAGCAGTCTTTCTAGAAACTGCAAAAACACTGATTTAGATATGGTATGCCTTAGCTCCAGAGCTCAGCATGTCAGAGCCTTGGCAGCCTCATTTAGAATTTGAAACATAAATGCAATTCATGTTTTACTGTCAAACTGAAGCCAAATAGAAGTTTAAGTTCAGGGAAAATGTGTTCTCTCTTCTCCCTACTTTCAGCCGTTTTAGAAAATAATCACAAAGAGCAGGAAAAAATATTTATACCTAAACTGTATGAATAGGAGATACATATTTTGTCTATGAACTTCCATGAAAAACACTTCACAAAGTTGTGACGATGCCACACATACAAATGAGACCCACGGCAGAGAGTTAAGCCTAATATCAGGGAAAAGCTGACTGTGGAGACCAGACTCAAAGCTGGAAAGGTCACACTAGTGTATGGAGTGTAAAGTGAAGATCATATCCCCTGTGCAGAGACCTATTGCATGCACTTTCCACTAGTGAATATCAAAGAGTAACGTGAAGAAGGGCCCTCTGCACTTACTTTGCTTGGAGCCTGCCTTCCCTTTGTAGTACCTGTCATGTCTCTAGCCCTTTTTTTCTGTACTACCTGGCATAAAAGGGTTCTTTCTTAATTGGGGTTTTCAATTAAAAAAAAATAATTGGTGGTGATAAAATACTGTGCAGTCACTGAGGTACAGCCATTTATATATTCCAACTGAAGATACAGTCCACTGATTTTAATGGCAAAGTGCCATTAAAAGTCATTATTTACAACCTGTATATGGAACCTGCATACTTCCCGAGGCGGGGGGGAGGGAGAAAATGTGTGCATATTAACAATTTTTAAAAGGAAACAAAGGTGAAATACATGGTATTCTTTGCTTATTACTTTTAGATTTGCTGACCTAGCATCGTTTATTTTTCATTATTAATTTTTAAAGGGAATACTAAGATCTTTTTAACGTAATTTCCCTAAATTAGTTTTCTTTAAAAATATAATTCAAATGTAAATACTTTGCAAGGCAAAATTGTGCAATCTTTTCAGCAATTAATATTGATAAATACAAGAAAATGTGGCTTGTAGAAAAGGAGATTTCGGTAGACGTGATATAATACAAGTTTTGACCCCTATGGCTGCATACTTGAAACTGTGGTGAATTGAAACAGCAGTGCTAAACAGTGGGTTAAGTACTGCTGCCTATTCACTGTGTGTTCTGTGAGCACTAGTGTAGAACACACCCCCTAAATGAAGATACCTATTCACTGGCGTTGTGAACAGTGATCAGGCTTTCCATTGTGCTCAATCTTAAAGGTCCTTCCAACCTAAATGATTCTATGATGTGTTACAGTTAAAGCTTAAAATCATTGTATGTGTTCTGATACGTGTGTTCGGATATGCAAGGAAGTTTGAAATAAAACCTCAGTGCTTTTTATTTTTACAGTGGTTTTACAAATATTTTTATTGTGCTACAGCACCAGGAAATTTTGCATTTTTACCTTATTAGTTTAGTGTGCCTCTTTGCTGTAAGGTCAGAGTTCAACTGATACAATCACACTTAGAATCAAAAGTGAATATTGTTAAATATGGGTGGGCTGTTGTCTGTTTAAGTTTGTGATTGAAAGATCAAGGAGCTAAGTGGCTTGGATCATGCATTTTAATTAAAGAGCTGAGGGATTTCTTGCCACTTAAACAGAAAATCAGAGTATCTTTGGGGTTTTGTTCTTTGGAAGTATGTATGTGTGTTACCTGCAACTTTGATTACCTCATTCCTTTGTAGTCATGAGACACAGACAACCTGTTGGGATCATCCTAAAATGACTGATCTCTTCCAGTCCTTAGGTGAGTGAATTTCTTAAAATAAACCATTATGTGATATTCATTCCATGAGTAAAAGCTGCTTTGATTGCTGACCCTGTCCCAGTTGTGTATTACAGAGCATTACCCATCTTGCAATGAGACACACGTTGCATGAAAACTCCTGCCTTGATCATGTCACGTGTATTGCCTTTCAGTAATTTTAATTCTGAACAATATGCTCTGACTTTGTGGTGTAATGCAGTTATCTTGTTTATTTCTTTAAATCCACTAGGGATTACCAATGGTGCTGGCTCTCTGTGTGTTTAAAGCAGGATGCCATTCTGCAGTGAACTGATATTTGGAATCATAGAATAGTTAGGGTTGGAAAGGACCTTAAGATCATCTAGTTCCAACCCCCCTGCCATGAGCAGGGACACCACACACTGAACTGTGTTGCCCAAGGCTCTGTCCAACCTGGCCTTGAACACCTCCAGGGTTGGAGCATTCACAGCTTCCTTGGGCAACCCATTCCAGTGCCTCACCACCCTCACTGTGAAGAACTTCTTCCTTATATCTAACCTAAACTTCCCCTGTTTAAGTTTAAAGCCATTACCCCTTGTCCTACCACTAGAGTCCCTAATGAAGAGTCCCTCCCCAACATCCTTGTAGGCCCCCTTCAGATACTGGAAGGCTGCTATGAGGTCTCCACGCAGCCTTCTCTTCTCCAGATAAAACAGAACATCTATGCTTTCAGTAAAAGCTAGACCATATGATGGTACAACTAGTTCAATGTGCCCTGCTAACATCTACATTTATTGTGAAAGATCTCTTTCTAAGGAGCGAAAGGGTAAAATACTGTTAAGTGAGGAAAAATGTTACAATACCCATCAGTTTTTAAAATAGAGCTTATGGTTATCTTACTGTCCCTTTCAAAGCACTGTTTACAAACTCATGGCACAGAAATTATGGCTTAAAATACCATTTTTTGTCTCTGTTACTGTGACCTTTGCTGCCTTCTGTTTCTTATATATTATCTGATGGAGTTGTAAATTATTTGAGAAACATACTGTATTTGAGCACTTGTCTGGAAAGTACTTAACACTGTTTAATATGTATATAAAACGCTATTGTATATGTACTACATGCACCAACATAATGTTAGGATTTTGGTGTGCCCATCTCTGAAGGCCCTGGACTGCCAGAGTCAGGAGGCTTTCCCTGAAGTTGGATTGGACTGAGGTCCCAACCTCTCAGTTTGTTTCATTTGTTCTGTTATATCCTATTAATTCACTGCAGAGAAGAGAAAAGGAGTGATATCAGATTTCTTCCAAAATGTGAAATTCATGTAAAGGAAACCTCCAGATTATTTTTAGGGCTGCTCATATTTCTGTTCTGCTGTTTCAGCTGACTTGAACAACGTACGCTTCTCTGCCTACCGTACAGCCATCAAAATCCGAAGACTGCAGAAAGCACTGTGCTGTGAGTTTGGCCTTTGAGACAAACTGTTCTTCTACAGTACTTGGGAAAGGGAGGGTCAGCTTAACTCTAACAACATTAATGTTTAACAAAGGACCAGATACATCCTTGACTGGTTGTCAACCAGCAAAATGGCAGGAAGACTTGCCGATGGTATATGTCATTATTGCAAATAAGTAAAATCAGTTAATAAAAAAAGGCATGCAAGAGGTAAGTTGAAATGGTATGCCCACTAAGAATGCTTTGAGAGGTGATAGGAAAATAAACGCTGGACCTCTTGATGTGCTGCTCCTAATACAAGCAGATACAAACCAATGTGAAGTGAGCTAAAATCCTGACCTTTGACATAAATTCAGGTTTTTTATTCTGTGCAAAATGTCATTGAACTAATAGTTTGATGTAATATGGAAATGATTCATATTATATAGAGAGAAAAGACTTGAAGACAAGGAAGATAACTGAAAGGGCAAAAAGCTTAGAAGGAAGTGAGATTTTGTGAGAACGCAGAGGAGAGAGGGTGAGTGGAAGAAAATTAGCTGAAGCAGAACTGGGGAAATGAAGGTGTACAAAAAGGAAGGAGTGCAAAAAATTCTGTTGTAGAGATGATGAGAATATGAATTTTAGAAATTATTAGGACTATTAATGGAAAAGAAAATACCTAAACCCACACGTCTACTGGGAAGAAAGTAGAGTGGAATAGAAAAAAAAACAGGAACTGGACAATTTTGGAAGGAGATGTGGATTATGAATGAGTGTGAAGGTTGCAGATTTTAGATCTTTTGAAAAGTTTTGGCAACCTGGTATAAAAATATACAACATTACCAAATTTTCTTTTTTAAATTCAGGAATCCTTGCTGTGAAAGGATTTTTAAGCCCTGAAGGGTGTACAGTCCAGCAGTCTGAGTAGAAACACATGAGGAGCAAAGTCATCCTAAAGATGCAAGGAAAGAGTTGCACAAAGAGGGGTCCCTTCTCACCCTCCAGGTGGTTAGTTTTCCTTCCAGCCTAGAAGACAGCTGATCTTGGCAGTAGCTTCTTAGCTGGACTTCAGACATACATTATCCCAAGTGAAGCTGTGCCTGAGATGGTAGCTAGTTACTCTGGAAAGCTAGCTAGCAACAGCACAGGCTCTTGGGAGTACCTCTCACCACTTCCTCATATGCCATGCTGGCTTGCCACAGAATTTCAGATCAAGTTTGAGATCTTGCATTCAAGGTATTGCCAGGAAGAAGCAGAAACTGTCCTTTGAAAGATTGTCTGACAGTATTGAGAGAAAAACTGTATTTCTTTGGCATAGCTTAGACCCTCTCTGTGCAAGGTATATTGTCCCACCAAAGACTATAATTCCATCTCCCAGCAAGACGAAAGAGGATTATGAGCTTTCCACTTATCAGTGTACAGGGTATAAAGTATACATCAACATGTACCTAAAAAACAAAAACAAAGCAAGAAACCAGAAAGCAAAGTAAAATTCTCCTTGTCCATGCTGCTCCCCAGGGAAGAGTGAAAAAACAGACTGCACATGATGGATGATAATCATGCTGCCTATTTCTGACAGGCATATAGATTTTCTAGTGACCAATATAGAACAAACTTCACTTTCATTCCTTCTAATGAGCCTTGAGGAGGAACATACTTCCTGCTCTTGCTTTTATTGCAAAATGTATCAATTTCTGTAATAACTGCAATAGTTAACTCTCCTCATTCACAGATCTCAAAAGTGCCCTCTTATCAAAGCGAATATTGTCTCCAGTTTCAGGGGGATGACTGTGGGAAATAGTAAGAAGAGAACAGTCCAATTTGAAGGAGCCAAGAGTAAAACTGTCATGTCTACAGACCCAGTCTGACTTGCTGCTTATGAAGCTGTTTGCTTGCTCCATCTCTCTGGAGGAGAGTTAACCGCGGAAAAAAATCTTTGTCTTTATTACACACACATGGTTGACCAAGGATCGATGTAATTCTTGAGAACACAATATTGTGCTTTTTAAGAAAGACATAGCAGATTATCCTCAAAGCTAAATGCTACAAGAATTTTCTGTCTCTGAACAGGAACTTGTTGTCATATGGCACAATTTTAACACCACCTTCAGAAATATAATCGGTGCTGTTCCTTTTGTCATTGTTTGCCTAGCTGGTTATTTCTTGCCAGGGAATGGGTCAAATTCCCTTTGACTGTGATGATTCTCAGCATCATTCTGTCCCATGAATGACTTCTGAGATAGCCAAAACACAGCATGTGCTAGCACCTTCTCTCTCAGGAAGGGGAGAGTGGTTAAGCCCTATTAAGAATTCTGGTTTTGGCTGTTATTTGTTGGTGGGTTTGTTTTAGGATAGGAAAATAGTTATCTTCTGTGCCCCTGACATTCATTTTCTGGTCTGAGTTACTGTAGTCCTCCACTGTATTTCCTGTCATTTTAACTGTGGACGGCTTTTAAAGGTGTTTGGATGCAGAATGCTTCAGAAAGGCTTACATGCTAAGGCAAAGAAAATGTCAAAACAAATCATTAGAAAATGAGGTCATTGTAAACTGTAAAATGTGACAAATTGCTGTCACAGCCTCAGTGTGTGTATAACTGCAGAGGCATTTTTGCTGAGAACTCCAAGGGCACAGTTGGAGCAGGATGCACAGTCCCACTTGCACATGATGGATTTTGACTTTGCAGTGAGGACTGGTGACACAGTATTAGTGCTATACAAGCAGGTTCAGGAGTATGTAATTTGAGAACTATACTTTAGAAAACTCTGCTGATGCCAGCTTTCCTTTCTGAGTCTTTGGTCTTGGTAAGTGTCAAAACCCCATGGTTCTGGGGCAGTTACTCCCTCCCACCCTCCTTTAGAAGTGGGAAAGTAGTCAAGTTCCGTCTTGTTCTGTTTTTTGGAAGGTAGACTCCTGCAGAGACTAATATGTGCATATGTACCTAAGTGTATGTATTTTTCAGGAGGCTGAGAAAGGTTGCAGGTTGGAAAGAACAAATTCTTACCTTCTTTTTCAGGTTATGTGGGGCAGACATACTGAGAGCACTTTTCCACTGTGGCAGAAGAAAAATGGGCCCAGAGAGAGTATCCCGTGTTGCAGTCGTATTGGGCAGCTATGCAGCACCAGACCCTGACTATCATATTTTATTCTCATGCAGCATACTTTAGCTTGTTTTCAAGAAATTATATTGCCCCAGATACTGAAGTATAGTACTAGAAGAGAAAAAGGGAGCAAAATCACCATGTATATTCAGAATTCTGTCACTGAGCTCTGCTGGTTGATTTAGAATATATGAATACTAATAGGAATATCAGCAAGGTTAGGGGATGAAGATTAAGGTACACACCAGACTAAAAGCAAGAGCTGTGTAGACTTTGCTTAGCCATGCAGTCTTTTAAAGGAACTGCCATCATTCACAAGGTTTTGCTGATACAAAAGCTCCCTAGCAATGCCTGCCTATTTTCTGTAGAGCTTCAGCAACCTCAGATCAGCTGCGTGTAACTGCTTGCTCCTGAGTCAGTCACTCACATCTGCTTGAACCCTGCTGAATTATGTGGTTTCTGTTTATAATTTTCCCTTAGAAAAGTCTCCTCACTGCAGAAAGGAAAGAAATGACCCTTGTGTCCATTTGGTTGTTAACAGCAGGATTGGTTGTTCAGCACATTCAAACAGATGCAAAATGGTACTTCAGAAATGCACTAAAAGCTGTATATAGTAGGCTTTCTCCCAGCAAAGGTGTGCAAGTCTCAGGTTAGCTTTCCCCATTTGCATAAACACAGTTTATTTAGAAACTTACAGAAATCATAGAATCACAAAAAAATAGTCTATGTTGCATTGTGATGTGTGGGGTTGGTGGTTTTTAAATATGCCTGTCAGCCTTTTCCAGTAGCTGGAAAATACGTAATACACTGTATTACACTGTACAGTGTACTGCCAAGTACTTTGACTACCTCAGGTCAAACTAACGGCAAGATGTTTTGCAGCAATTAGCATTCTGCCTTTTTGGTAAATATATGACTGGCATTTATTTGCAAGCCCAAGAGATGGGCTTGAGGGAAGGAAGAAAGAAAAGATAAGGCAAACGTAAAACCCCTGCAAGTCTGATGCTGATGCTGTAAAGTTAGAATAGTATGTCAGTGAGGGAGAGGAAAGGCAAGGGCTGTAAGGTAACGTTTCTCATTTACAGTGATATGAGGAGGGGTAGACTGGGTAGAAGGGATTGGGAATCATAGAATCAGCTATGTTAGAGAAGATCTTTAAGATGATCAGGTCCCGTCATTGCCCCAGGACTGCCAAGTCCACCACTAAACCTGTCACTGAGGGCCTCATCTACACAGTTTTTGAACACTTCCAGGGACAGTGATTCCACCGCTTCTCTGGACAGCCTGTTCCAACACCTGATCATCCTTTCAGTGGAGACATTTTTCCTAACATCCAATCTAAACCTCCCCTGGCACAGGTTGAGACCATTACCTCTTGTCCTATCACTTGTTACTTGGAAGATCAGCCACCTCCTCTCTCCCTCCTCCATTCAGGTAGTTGTAGAGAGTGATAAGGTCCCCTCTGAACCTTCTTTTGGCCCATAACCTTCTCTTTTGGTAGATGATCACTGAGTTCTTGACAGATTTGCTCATAGTGGTTAGTGTTGTCTTCCTCCTACTTTTTCTGCTGTACTTATTTTCCAGCCCAAGCTAGACTTACCTGATTTGCACAGACTGCCTTTTCGCGGTCCTTATTTAACATTATTGGTGCAGAGCAATTTACAATGCATCTGAGACTGTCATGTTTCATTTGCTTTGAGAGATGACATTTATAGTGTAAACGTGTTACTGGCTGTCCAGAAACAGCTCTGTGTGAGCTTGGAATATACTTCATGTTGTATACCTTGTAGCAAGGATACTAATGTATTGCAACTTTGTTTTTTAGTTCTCTAAAATCCTCACTTCTATTAAAAAAAAAAATCTCACAGAGGTTTATACCACCCTTTGACTTACACTATTCTTCCTTCTTTAACATCAAAATAAGTTTCCTCTTTTCTACTTTGCTTTGTAAAAGGAATTAGAAGAGCTCATTTGACAGCTTTTAATTTTCACCATGCAAACCTCAGATTTTCACAATCATATTTGTGTGGTTTGGGAAGCGAAACCCTTTTCACCTGTAGAATACCTATAGCATCATCAACTGCTTATAGGAAGAATCCTGTAATAAATGAGATCAAAATATTTTTCATGAAAGCATAGCATTTAGTATTCTAGAAAACTACAACAAATAATTTCCCTGTGTCCTTCTGCCTGCTTTCCTTTAAGCCCTAATTTAGCAACCGCTGTTCAGTTAATCAGGCCTTAGAACATTCCTACTGCATTTAAGAGAACATTGTTACTGAAGAGTTTACTCTTTTTTCGATTGAATCAAAAGTGATAGTCACTTAATGGGATTCAGCTTTATGGTAAATATGAGGAATCCTCTAAGCCAGTGTGTGTACATCTGAAGTTAGGATCCTCTGAGATTACTTCAGTGGCTTTTTAAATATTCTTCCAAGCTGTGCAGTGTCATCACGGTGTTCTCGTTGATCCTGGTTTTTTAAATATATAGTACCAAAATGCTGTCGACTTATCACAGAGAATGGTTTTTCACCATAGTATTACTTATTGAAAGCTATCTCTTGGCTAATTGTCTGCAGCATTTGCTACAATATGCACATGAACAATTACAGTGAATGCTATGCTTGAGCATCTATAGTAACACCTTTTATTTTCTTTTTTTTTTTAATCATCTTTTGTTAGTGGACCTATTGGACCTGAACACAACAAGTGAAGTTTTCAAGCAGCACAAGTTGAGTCAAAATGATCAGCTGACTGGTGTCCAGGATGTGATCAGCTGTCTCACAACCATCTACAGTGGCCTTGAAGAGAAACACAAAGATATGGTGAATGTTCCTCTCTGTGTAGACATGTGTCTTAACTGGCTACTCAATGTATATGATAGGTAAGTAATAAGTCTTTATTCACAGTGTGTGTCCCAGGAACTTAATATAGTATTAACAACTATTATTATTCTGCCATGGAGGCAGAACTCTGGTGATTTTTGCACATGTGACGTGACATACCAAAAATGCTAGGCTTATGGGACTGTTGTATTTTTTGCAGTTGCTTTCTTGAGGAAGTGTCCATGATAATAGAAAAATTATAAAGCCTTAAGAAGTTCTGTGATAAAAAGTTGTATCTTCTGGTATTTTTGACTTAGTAATGAAAGTGCAGTTGCTTATAATGAGATGTTTCTTATGCTATCCTGCTCAGACGCATTGAACAATCATTACACTGCTTTTATACTGCTACCAAAGAAACACTGGATGGATTGAACAATCATTGAACAATCATTACACTGCTTTTATACTACTACCAAAGAAACACTGAATGGATTTCAAAAGTGTATATCTGAGTAGACAACTGGATACACTGCTTTAGCTGTGTTCCTTCTGTAAATGTTCAAAATTGCCCATATTGTCTGGCATTTGTACTAGATCCTATTTCTGCTGCAGGTGGGGACAGTTTTGTTATTTATTTTACACTTAGTTACTTGCCTGCCATAATCCTGGCAGAGCTCCCTGTCCTGAATCTTCTGTTGCATGGTGGTTCTTCCAATCTCAGCGCTAAAGGTGATTCTGGAGGGCCACTGGTGTTGTGGCTCACTTCCAGCACTTTCTGCCTTCTATCAATTCTGAATGCCTGTCCTATGTGAGCCACCTGTCCTGGTCCTGCCAGTAAAGCTGTATTTCTCTTGTTGATTGTGAGTTTGCCTCAAGAATGTTTCAGGATCCTTACAGTAAGAACTTGTGGGTTATACATGTCCATTATTTCCAGAGAGAGCCCTGAGTCTCAGAGGATATAAAAAAGTCCACTCCGGCAGCCCCTTATGATTTTGGCCAGTCCTTTCTGAGTCCCCAGACACTTCTTTCTTCTGCTGAATGTCAAACTCTGACCTCTCTGCACTTCATCAGCCTGCATGACCTACAATCAGTAATGCTTTTATTTAGTTATGGTTTTGAGTCATGAGTTTGTTGCTCATTTTTCTTAGTGGTGTTCACTAGTCTTCTCCCTTCCATAGTAAAAACTGGGAAAAGACTTGGTTTCTATCAGCTTCTACATTCCATATGATGTATCGATTTACATTGCTTGAGCAACAGCATTTCAGGACTCTTCTGCAGCTGGCTAAAGACACAGTAGTGCCATACATGGGGTGTTTGCTTTCGTTTGTCTAATTGGATATATGCTTTAGTTTGCAGTTATACACAGAATTATAAATCCAGATTTCTAAGCTGCATTAGGTTGTTTACCAAATTTCTTTCCTTTCTCTTCGTTTGAAGATGGGAAGAGCAAAATTATTTCTTGAATAATGATAGAAATTCTTATACCTGGCTTTGCAAGAGAGTTGTTGCCTGTTGATGTATGCAGTATCTTCACTATGTTCACTCAATCAGTGCCAAATTCTAACGGTTCACAGCTTTTTGCCTTTTCCCCTCCCTGCTCCCCTCTCCCCCTCACCCCCAGAGGACCACGTACCAGTATTCCTATACTTTATGGATTTTTTTATGTTATTGTTATTTTAATTATTGTGGTAGGGGAGAGGGAAGGGGGGAACAGAGTACATACAACAACTTATTACTGATGTGCTGACTACGTATTATGCTTTGGCATTTGAATATTGCTCTTTAATATTGTGACATTTCTGTTAGTTGGACTCATGATTACTGCTGGAAAAATTGTCAGCCCATCAAACAATGGCTGGGGTTTCTGTTTGGGGGTTTTTTGGGTTTTTTGGGTTTGGGTTTTTTGTTTGTTTTTGTTTTTTCTCCAGATTGATTACAAATCCATTATGTTTTCTTCAGCTTACCTGTTTTTTACTAACTTCAGGTAGAAGTTGGTTGTTTAATCTGTTCATATGCAAAATGCACATAGTAAGCAAAGAACCTTTCTTTCAATAATGTTTCCTATTGCTCACAAGTCTCTTGATTATTGTGTTGAAAGTTTTAGTGTAGATAATACTTCAATCTGATAAAAGACTTCAATCTTTGGTCAAACTTCAAAAAATAGAAGATGAAGGTTTCTGAGATGAAATTATCTTTTATAGTGTGTTTTTTTGCTCCCCTTTCAAATCTACTTCAGGAAAAAAAAATGCTGGAAGAATAGGCACCAATTTTAAGCTGTTTTTTGTTTTGGCTTGGTTTTTTTTTAAAATGGCCTTTAGGAAAGAGCTAATTTGTATCTTGGCATTTCCATTGTTTATTGCATTGGTGTTATACATATACAGTGTTTCAAATCGTTAAACTGTCTACAAAAAGCATGTTGGTTGCATGCTATTAACCTGAAAATTAATTACCGATTCACAGATTGATGGCAAACTAAGTAGTTCTTCTGACTTACCTACAGATGTCTTTGGCCCTTGAAAGGAATCAGTTTATTTTCAGAAATAGCCTGTTGTGTTCTGGTATTTTTCGATACATCAGGGATGATTCATTCTTCAAGCTGTGTAGAGGAGAGAAACATTAAATTCAGTGACTTTCACTTCTTCAAGGACTCAAAGGTGGTTCCAGGCGGCAACATCTGCCCTATAAACATTTTCCAAACTCAAAGTTCCTTGGTTTGGTTAGAGATTTATTAAAAATAAATGCATTGCACTTTACAAAGAGATCTGTGAAGGAGATTGCTCTAAGAAATCATTTGGCCAGGCCTGTGTTTAAATCGTCCAGCAGCAATAGCCAGTGGTTAGTGTTCTGGACTATATACTGTCAAAATTGCTAAAATCTTCAAACATTATTTATATGATATGAACTGATAGCTTTCAGTACTAATGGAATATTTTAGCACCCCTTGAAGTAAGTTATTTCAGCTATTTTAGTCTGTCATACATAATATAGAATACATGTACTAATTGTGGGTGATGACTCATTATTTCAATCAGAATTACTCATGAAGAAACTTTCACATGCACTGTTCTTAACGTCATGCAATGTTTGTCTGACTTCTTGTATTTCAACTTTTAAATTTTCTTGGGTTTTTTGAAGTTAGGATGCTTCTGATAATGCCTTCTTTTAAATTGAATTGCTTTGGTACATTAGTCTAGAAAAGGGTATCTATGTTATGGCACTTATGCTTACATTTCCTGTATGATCAAAGCTGTCTTTCATGATCATTCTCTATGGCCCAGTCTTTGCCTGAAGAATTACAACTTTGGTATTGTTGCACTGGTAAACCTGGCAGATTCTAGCACCCTGCTGAGTTAATATCCCAGGCCTTACTAGCGTGTTAATTTCAGCAAAATCTGAACTTCTGAGGAATGAGGAGGACGAGAGACCTTCTCAGTCAGCCTTAACTTTATGCCTTGATTTTGATGGTAGCTGATGGAAGTTTTCTGTGTGCACTCCAGTTGCATTCCTTGTGTTGATGATAGTTTGCTTGATCACAGAGGGCTCTGCAGGAGCAGCTCAGCAGGCTGTGATAGTAGTAAGAAGTGCTCTAGGAAGGACATGGCCATAGAACAGGAAAATGAGCTCCTTTGACTTCTCTGGGGTTGATCATGGGGAGGCAGAGATCAAATGGACTGCCTTCTGTTGCTGGGTTGTGTAGATAATCAATAGCTGTGGTGTGTGGTAGTCCTTAATTGCAATGTCAGTGTTGACTAGCCTTCAGAGCTCTTTGACAAGACAAGTCTGAACTGAAGTGGGCTCATCATCTTCCTCCTCCAGTTTTCCTTGCTAGTGCCTGATGCCTTTATGCTGTTGCCCCACATTCCTGGGGAACATAGGATTCCTCTGAGTTTGGTATTGCTTATCTTGTTTTTTGTTGATTTGTCAGTCATCCTTATTGTGTGTTCCTGTTTACAATCTCTTATACTTAATCTTATCCTCTGTCTGGGAGCTTTTTCTTATCTGGCTACCTCCTGTGTGCAACTGTGCCCATGACTGTTTGCCACTTTGGCATTCACATTGTTCACATACTTAAGTAAAATGCTTATATATTATGTCTGGCTATGCTATTGCGATACTACAGAATACTTGCATAATGTTGTTAAACAACAGTTTGTATGCTACTATGCAGCGATCTAATATTAATTATATCCTGATTAGTACATTTACAATTTGCAAGTGTCACAGGCCTCTGTTTTGACTGTGGTACAGACTGTGTTTGCCTGTCAAATAAGTTTTCGGTACTAAACCTGTTAGGATGTAAAAAGGAATGAAGTTTGCATACGATGGTTGCATGATTATGGAAATTTTTTGGAAAGTTTGCTAAGCTCATTTTCCTGGAAAGACATACCTGCAGATAATTTAAACCCATCCTGATGTCTGTCATTGAATTTCTGCGGTGTTTGAGCAGAAACAGAAATGTTTGGGTTAGGATTTAGCACACTGTTCTGCAGATGAGATGTTCCTGTAGCCAAGTAGTACTAAAGTGTATTATACAAATCCCAAATGCTCCACACAGCTTGCACCTGATGTAGAAAAGTTGGTATTGTAGTTGTTTCACTTGTTTGGAGTTCAGTTGTTATAGGATTAGCAAGGGAACGTATGGGGCATAGCTTGTATCCGTTGCCCCTGTTATCTTTCATGCCCTCTTGTCTTCTGCATCCTGTAGTTCCAGTATCTCCTGTAGTAAGATGTAGGATAAAAGTGGTCTTCTTTTCTCTTCTGATACTAGAGCCATTTCTAGCTTACCTTTTTTCCCCTCTCATTTACTTGTTATTGTGCAGTAGTGACAGAAATCAGTTTTTATATAAAGTCGCTTTTTTTATTCTCTGCAGCTGTGTTGGATCTCTGAAACAGCTGAATGGTTGCTCTCTGCTTGGATGGAGAGTCCAAGCTATGCAACAAAGTTGTATGTGCTCTCAATCCAGCTTCTACTCATGTAGCGTGGTACTCCCTTATGCCTTTGACCTTGATCTAGTTAGCTGATTCCCCCACTAAACTAGTCCTCTATATACTTTCAGTGCACTCTTCTACTATGCCTGGAAATTATGCATACCTTTTAACACTTAATTTGACAGGTTAAAAAGTTACATTCTAAACTTCTGGGTTTAGAGTTTAAAACTTCTGGGTTCTGTGCCACCTCTTGACTGGCAGTGGGTGAAGGCATATAGGCCAGAGCCTGCCTGATGCATGTGTAGAGTCAACAGAATCACCTAAAAAAAAATGAGGATTTGTTTATTTCCTCCTTCCCATCACCTCTCTTTGCTCTTTCCTTCCCCACTAGAACAATAAAATTCCTTTTCTTTTGAGGAAGGAGAAGAATGTCAGAATCACACTGTAAGGTTAATGAATCCTTAGACTTTGTATTGCCTGGGGAAAGAGGGCTCACATATATCCAGAGGGACAAACGGACTATAGTAAACAAGAAAAGCACTTCTGACAAGCGGCTATAATGGTTTTACTGTGTTTCATTTGAAGACAGGTCAGAGGTCCATAATGTGCCATTTTGATACTGCCTTTCACTGTTATATTGATGGAGAATGGACAACTTTTAATAGAGGTATAATGATTCACACTTCCCTTCATCAGGATCAGAGCAAAAAGTATCTGAGCTGCTTCAAGCAGTCTTATCAATTGACCTTTTAATGACGCTTGTATTGCTATAGTGAATCTGAGTGGTGTGCTGGCACTTGATTCTAAATACTTGACCCAGAAAATTTTTATTTATTGAAGAATTAAAAAATTTCCTGAACTTTCCAGCTGTAAGACCTTGAGTTTAGATCTTATCACACACAGTCCCGTCTACTCAGGACTGGTGAGGCACATCTGGAGTGCTGGGTCTGCTTCTAGGCTCCTCAGGACAAAAGAGACATGGACAAACTGGTATGAGTCCAGTGAAGTACCACAAAGATGATTAAGGACTTGAAGTATCTTATGTATCAGGAGAGGTTGAGGGCTGGGACTTTTTAATGTGGACAAGAGATGTTTCAGTGGGATCTCATCAATGTGCATAAATACCTGATGGAAACAGTAGAGAAGATGCAGCCAGACTTTTCTCAGTACTGCCCAGTGGCAGGACAAAAGGCAGTGGGCACGGACTGAAAATTCTTCTTAAACATATAAGAAAAAGTTGGATTTTTTTTTAATGTAAGGGTGATCAAACAGTTCCATACTTTGCCCAGAGAAGCTGTGCAGTCTCCATCCTTGAAGATATTCAAAACCCAATTTGATATGATTGGAAAATAGCTCTTTACCTGCCTGAGCAGGGGCATTGATCTAGATGATTTCCAGAAGTCCCTCCCAACCTCAGTGATTTTGCGGTTGTCTAACCTGGACAAATTTAAACCACTGAATTGGAAGTGTCAGTGCTTACAGTTACAGGCTGGAAGGGAGGGAAATCTTGGTTTTCGTGTAGCATTTTTTACTGTGTATATAATTACAGTGCTAATAATTATCTGTTTCCAAGAAAAAGGCTAGTGGGAAATATGTCACTCTTTAGAAAAGTGTAATATTGCAGGCTTTGTCATTCTTTTTATAATTTATTGAGAAAATCCTTTTTGGGCAAAGGGAAGTTTTCACAATCCATGTAGCAATCTGCTGAAATCCGAAGTTTGAAGCCTTTGCATGTGTGCCCTTACGTGCATGGGGCGCATATGTGGCCTGTTAGCTGCTGTTTTTCTGAGCTTATGTCTTTAATAAACAAATGCTGTACTCAGTCCTGAGTTAAATCAAATCTGAATTCAGCTTTGTTTTTCCATTGAATACAAAGTTAAAACACAGACAGCCCTACACAGAACTTTATCAAGGTTGCAGAATGAGCCGTTTATACATTAAGGTCTGCCAGAATGACGTAGTGTCTGTGATTGAAAGAGGTAATTCAAAGCTAGGATTGAATGTATAAAATAGGTGGCACTTTTATAACATTCAGGAAAATTGGGTTCAGGTTTTCAAGCCAGGCAGTAAAAGTAATGTGTATTTTTGATTAATTTGGCAATAATTTCTCTGTACCTCTCTTCCAGCTTGTGGACTGGAAAAGATAATGCTGTCTAGTCTCACTAGATTGGGTGATGGTTGTGAAGACAAATGCATTAATATTTGTAAGGTGCTTAGCTAATTTACTGAGAGCCCAGGAGTAAATGAATAATTTTGTATTCAGCCCAACATTTGTGAAGTAAATCAGACAGCAGACCATATGTTGAAGAGATAGGACAGAAAGAGATATCTAATAACCACTCCAGAAGTAAAGGATGTATCACTTTTGCATGACAGAAGGGACCAAAGTAATGTTTGTGGTGATACTGGTGACACATCCAGGTAACTTTAAATGCAGGGTTTGTGTATAATATATACAGTTTAACTACTATTCTCATGATATGTATAATTTTTTTTTTGCCATTTCTCACCTAAAGACAAATTGCATCATGGTTTTTGGTCTTTGAAAAAAGAAATCATGAGATCTTTTAAGAATGTGTTTCTACACTGATATTTTGAACTTCAAAATAGTCCTTTTCCACGTGTCCTGGGTTTGTTGCTTTAGTACTTTTTTGAACAGTGTTTGTGTTGCAGGTTTAAAATCACTTGCTTTTGTAACCACTTACCTGTTCTCAAGTTGCTTAAGGCTTGATGTGTGATGGTTTGGGTTTGAGTTTTTTGTTTGGGTTTTTTTTTTTGACATGTTGGACAAGACAAACCTGCAGTCACATTACTTAAAAAGAACAACAGCTCCACATTATTTAATTCCTGCATGTGGTTTGCTGTTTATGTCCTGGTACACATGTATATTAGAATATTTTAAACATAAAAGGAAAAAATGAAGTGAAAACAATGAATTACTGTGATATGAATACATGGTTTTATTTTGCAGTCCTTGTGTTTCAGACCGCATAATAGGCTTTCCTGCTGTGTGCTTGTATATTTTTTCTGTATTCCACATTATTAAATCATGTTGAGAGCTTTACAGAGCTAAATGTCTGCCCTTTCGAGGTAATAGAAACTGTTTTGACATGTAAACCACTTAGAAGGCAAGCTGAGCTTTTTTAAGGGAAGAATTCTTAATGTGATTTGTAGTGTTAATTTGTTTTGAGACTTGAAGTGGTTTTGAAGTAGAACTCACCAATGCCTTTTCATTTTTTTAATAACTTGAGTTGGAATGAAATAAAATTAAACTGTATTAAATTCTCATCTTTATCATTTTAGTGGCCGAACTGGAAAAATTCGAGTGCAGTCCCTGAAAATTGGCTTGATGTCTCTTTCTAAGGGCCTTCTGGAAGAGAAATACAGATGTAAGGACGAATATATTTTATAAAATGCTTACTTTATATAATTAAGTCATGCAGTATGACAAAACACATTGTAGCAAAATTTGTAGTAAAACATTTCTCATGCCTGTAGCAAGACAGTTTTCTTGTAAGTAAAATAGAATTGCTGTTTTGATTATCATCAGTGAGAAAGTAGGATTTATATCCTGGCTGGAAAGTACTGATGTCAATTATGCATTGTCTAATGCGTGTTATTGCTCTCCCCAAAAACAAGGAGAATGTAGCGTGTGGAAGCTACAGAAGTATTCTCTTTGAGTGATTCTATTCTTTTGTGTGTGTGTGTGTGTATATTTTGCTTAGGGAAAAGTCAAGCAAGTCGGTGTTGATTGTGTCCGATAAAGCATCAAAATCCGCCAGCTGTGTTTTGTGATCTATGAGAATGATGATCTGAACTCTGAAAATAGTTTTCCAGTATAGGTGCTTTCTGCTAGAATTGTACCATGAAAATTTAGATTGTGTTAAGTAATTTTGCAAGCTTGAGAAATTCCGAGTAGTATAAAAATACTTCACAAAATAATTGTGGGAGCTGAAGCGAATTGAGTAACATTGTGACAACCTCTCCTGACAAATACAGAACAAGAGATTTAACGCTATGTAAGAGCATCCTAGATTGACATAGGATATGTCCATCTAGTTACATACTATCCACGTCATCTTAAAATTGCTATTCTTTGCAGTAGTTACTTGACACATTTTGTAAACACATGTAAAAGATATAGCAACTGTGTACCACTGGAGCTCTGCAACAATTTTAGCTTTCCTTAGAAGCATTTGTGGGTAATCTCGGCTATTAACACTGAGCAAAAGTACAGGTATCTTATGCATAAGAACATATTTGGCCATCTGACTGGCATACTGAGCCTTTGGGGTTTTTAGTTGCTTTACGTTATTTGACATATCTGTGAATAAATCCATAATTAAAAGAGCTTGGCAGAAATACCTTTGTTCAGTAACGGCAATTCAGGGGGTAATCTGCCATTTGGTGAGAAATAAAAAGTTTTCATAAAATATGGGAGTGAGGTTGTGCATAACAGAAAAATAACATGCAAAAAGATGGCTCAAAGATGGCTCAAATCCCAAACCTGTGAATAAACTCACTAAATTACTATCAGTAATGAATTAATATACTTACAGACATTGAATACAGGTACTGAAACAGAACAAGGAAATTACGATGTCAGATTCATTTTTATGTTGTTGCTTTGTGTCTAGTAGTAAAATAAAAATGGTGGCTGCAGTTTTGTATAATCTGTACCATACAGTTTTGTATAATCTGACCATAATGGAAATGCTAAGTGTTTTCAAAAAAGTAAGTCACTTGGAAGGAAGAGTGATATACCCAGATATGGGTGTTTAATACAAGTTTTTAACCACTCAATTTTAGTGGTCTCAAATATTCTAGGAAGGTAAAAGTTAATCATATCAGCAAGTGTTTGCAACAGTAAAAAATTTAATTTGTGTGTGTGATTATTCACAGCAGGTTTTATGCCTAGTCATGCCATCAGGAGACAAATGATGTCTTAGAGAGTGTGAATTTCCTGAGGGACAGCAAGAATTCTATTCTCCCTGCCTTTTCTTTAGCTTTAGAGGTGGAGAAATGTCATATCACTGTGTAATAACTGGGAATACATTTCCGAGTGCACTTCACTCTTACCTGGACTCATTTTTAATCCAGAAAGCTCAGACTGACAGCAGAAACAGAAAACACACATGGAGTTTGATTTATTGCATTTTGTGAATAGATTTGTAGATTTTTGGGTCATATAATTTACTGCATAAAATTGTCGGATTTGAGCTGAAAAAAGAGGGCTACTTCAAGTAGCCAAATCTCAGCTGTAAAGCAATTCAGTTATTAAGTGATGTAGAACATCCTTGGAATATAATTTTTTTACTGTTATGTTTATGTTCTTAATTTTCAAACCGTTTGGAACTAACACTGTGATAGTAAAGAAAAAAAGGAATGTGGATCCTATCTTTTAACAATGCAACATAAAATGTGTATTGTGGACATTTCACTACTATCTTATTACCATTTTTGAAGGAATGTAATAAACTTTTCAGCATTTTCAAGTATCCCCTTCTATACCAGCCAGTTCAGTATGTTTTTACAGGTTTTTGCAGTTTAAATCCCATTGGCTGTCATCCTCGAAGTACAAGTGTGAGGCTGAATTTAATGTAAGATTAACTGATCAGTTTTTTTCTTGTTTCTGGTTTTTTCCTGTGGCTCAGGTCCAAATAATCTTTTCTTTCACTTCCCCAATCATTCTTTTTGTCCTTTCAGTAGAGTCCCATATACAATTTAACATATATATCAATGTATTTTATGTGTAAACTATTTAAAATAGTTTATGGCTTCTGATGTTGCTGGTGGGTAACATATGAGGTCCCTTTTCCCACTGGCATGATTATGTTTGGGTGCTTCCAGTCAGAGCTAAAACAAGCTTCCTTACATGTTTGCTACTTGAGATCTGCTCTCACCATGCCTCCTTGGCCAGGGAATATCTTGTGGGGTAATTTAAGGAGGTAGAACAGAAAGCAAAAATATTTCAGCTTTCCATACCTTTAGTCTAGGAGCTTCTGCTCCTGTGTGTCACATCAAAGGCATTGAGGATTCTTGGAAAAGAGGATGCCATCCATGAACTCCTTTGCACTTGGACACTCACTAGTTATGGCACAGCTGCTGCCAGTGTTGTTTGTTTTTTAAGTGGAGTGTTTTGATGGAGTTTGAGTTCTTCAAAGGTATTTGATTTCCTACTTGGATCAACCCTAGCTAATCACTTTGCCTGTTTTCTTTCCTGTCATGTAATTTTTATCTCCTTTTACTACCTCCTCAATCAACCCAAGTTTTAGGGCTTAGGAAATTACTTCATCTTCCTCCCAACTAAAGCAGTTAATGAATTATTTTTCTTTTAGTTTCCGCTATACACTGATGCAAACAGAAAGAATGAAATGGGCATTTTCATTATTTTTAATTTTTTTTTATCCTATGAGTTTTTTTAAACTGACACTTAGAAACTGGAAAACTATCCCAACCACAGCTGAAGAGGCTAGCCAGGGCCTGGGTTAGCTAGATGAGCCTGGAGCCATGCAGTACTTGTTCCATCACTGCTGTTGTCTGCGGGTTTTTTTTCCTCACCACTGAATGCTGAAAATGCTGTAGAGTTTGTTTCACTGGTCAAGAAAGGGGCAAGAAAAATAAAAGAACCTCTAAAACTTAATTCAGTCATCTGGATTTCTCTTTTGTGAAAATCCCGTCTTCTGCCTCGGCCTCCTTTGTCAAGATAAAAAGTATGACCAGACTTTCTGAAGCACACTGGCAAAGCTTGACTATTGCTCCAAATGAAAGGCAAACCAATTTACATAGTGTAATAAAAGAGTTTCTCTTGAGTGTTTCTGAACAAAGCTTGTCTGTTTTGCAATCAGAAGTGCAGTCAGACTGAATTTTCAACTTTCATTTATTTCTAATCTATTAATGGTTATTCTGGTGGGAAACATGAAAAGTAGGGGAATAGTGTATTTTTTTTCTTTTAAGATTACTTGGAGCTTTAACCCAAGCCAGCCAATGAGTGCAATGGTATATATGGAAATTAAATGAGCCAGTGCCTCTTGCTGGTGTTGCAGATCTCTTCAAGGAGGTGGCAGGCCCCACAGAAATGTGTGACCAGAGGCAGCTGGGCCTGCTGCTTCATGATGCTATCCAGATCCCACGGCAGCTAGGGGAAGTGGCAGCCTTTGGCGGCAGCAACATTGAACCTAGTGTGCGCAGCTGCTTCCAACAGGTAAGATAACAAAGACCTTCATGTAAAAAAAACCCTGTCTCTGAAGTCTTAAGATTCACTTTCACATGCTGTAGAAGTAAAAGATGAATTTAAAAACATCCACTGAATTTTTGCACAGAAATGAATATGCTTCTGCAACTGAATGTAGGAAGTTATTGTAAAAATGCAGCTGTTAAAGATGGTTTATGGTTTAGGAGAGGATCAAACAAATTACATTTAGCAAAAGAGTATATAAATCTTTGTCATTTTGACAATATTGGCTGCTCTAAAAGCTGTTAAAAAATTTGTAGCAGCCAATTATCCTGCTTTGCATCATTCAAAGCAACCTGATACTGTGAGAACAATGTGCTTTTACTTGCTGGAACAAGACGTGATCTCAGCAGAACAAGAGGATGAAGTTGGTAGTAATTTTTGTCCTTGTGCATCAGGAAATTATTTAGCATTATTTTACTGACAAAAGAGCTTGCGATTGCATGAAACTTCATGCATAGTCTCTTATATATCGTGAGCCTTTATGCAGCAAATCAGAACATGGACTAAAGCTGTCTTACAGCCTGCTGTTTAGCTCCACAGTACATGCAGGGGGTTAATTAGGCTGCAAGGAGTGTCTGTCTGTTTAAAGAAGATGAGAACGAAAAGGGGGATGTAATGGAACACAACCCAACTCACATTTTGTCAAGGATGCCTAAGGCTCAGACTGTTTCCTGGTGATAACTATACTGCTTGAGTGTGTTATTTCTGTGAAAGTGGCTGCTTTGAGTATTGTCAGAAATTATGTATGGATTAAAAATTCACTGTGGCATGGATAAAACTACTGACTAATATTTCCGATTTTATTGAATCAAGTACTAAATGTTATAGTGAACTTTTAGAGCATTTTTCTTCTGCCATTCTTTTGTAGACATTTCTACATTTTCAGTGCACTGAAAAACTCAGTTGTGCTAACTTTTTTTCAGAAGTATTAGATTCACTTCTGGACTCTGAGATACTGGAATTGGAAGAGTATTGTCCAGATAATGAATAATTTGGTAGATACTTGTGGAAGTTGGTTTCACCAATTAACCATGTAAAACTTCCCCTGAGGTTTTAACATTTCTGCTTCAGAGAATAAGGGATGGTGCTTGATGTATCTATCACTTGCCTCAAGTGGTTCAAGTCATACTGAAATAAATTATTCATTTGCTAGTGGCAGGCTTTTTCTGTCACAGAGGAATGATCTTTATATCTCTCAAGGATCTGCCCCATCTCCCATGCAGTTCAATTATGGGTAAGGGACACTAGGAAGGTAGTGTTTAAATACTTTATGTAATGTTATGATTATACTCATGATAAGGTTGCATCCCTCATCTCACATGAATAGCTCAGTGTCTAGTCATTAAGAAAGCATAGAGAAAGGTTGCAGCTGCATGACAGTTATCTCAGACTAGTGAAAAAATGGGTGTTTTGCTGGTGGGGAAATCAGTGGCAGGTTTGGTTTAGGGTTTTTCATGCCACTCCCTCTTACTGGCAAAATTTACTTGATCTATGAATAGGTTAAGAAGCCTAATGTTGCTTCTTGTCATGTGTTAACATTTAAGAATAACATTCATTTTGGGTTCTGTTACTTCCAGTGAGCTCAGAAAAATGATGTCTGTTCTTATTGCTGACAATATATCACAAATGCATTTGTGAATATAACACCTTTACAGGTAGCCTTCTCCAGTGGCTGCAACTTAAAGAGAATATGGAAGCATGTTTGCTTCTTAAAACAATCATGCTAATACTTTAGCTGTTCCATATTCTTGCAGTGATTTCCTATAAGTGGCAGATTTCTTTCTCATTATTTATTTATGTACCTTTTTATTTTTGTGGGGTTTTTTAATGTGCTATCTTGAAAGAATACTGTGGGCTCAAACCACTATAAAAAAAAAAATTGCATGAGTCTCATGGCAATTAGTAGACTTTACTGACTTTTAGCAGTCTGGAATTGATCCTAACTCAAAAGACAACCTGTCTGAACTGCAGAAAATCCTTCCCTTTCATGCTCCCTTACTTCTTTCTCAATTCCTTTTCTTTCAAAGATGGCTTTACTGTGGACTTCATTACTCCTTTGCTATACACTCCATTTTTGTTACCATCTGTCTCCTCTATCACAGCCACATCTGTTTAGTGCTCTATAGTCTTACTGGCTTAACTTGTTTTCTTTATTTGAATTTTCATTGAGGATTTTTCTTTTACCCTGTAGCTGGTTTTACATTAATGTGGCACGGAAAGGATTGATGCAGGTGGTTTGGTTTTGGTTTTGTTTTGTTTTTTTTTTAATTGAATTTGAAGGAAAATCTGCTTGTGTGTGTTGTTTGGTTATGTTGTTGTGCTTTTTTAAATTTGAATGTGGGGTTGTTTTTCATTCTTTCTCTCCACAGAACCACAATAAGCCAGAAATAACTGTAAAGCAATTTATAGATTGGATGCGCTTAGAGCCACAGTCTATGGTATGGCTACCAGTTCTACACCGTGTGGCAGCTGCAGAAACAGCAAAACACCAGGCCAAGTGTAACATCTGTAAAGAGTGTCCAATTGTTGGCTTTAGGTAAGAGGAGAGGAATTGCGTGCAAAATGTCTCTGAAAATAGCCACACTTTTAAGTCTTCCAACAAGCACAATTCTGTCTGTTTGTTTTTCCACCATTTTCCTGCTTTAAGATGAGATCTGCCACGCATGGCGAGGCCACAGTTTGACATGAGCTATTGTATTTCTGGCTCCTGCAGTACTGCTGCTAGGCACCCAATGGTCCTTTTCCTGACCAGTATGCCGGGCAGGCTGTCATCAGGTGTTTTGGCATTAGTAGAACCAATAGATAGCAAATGAAGCATAAATGTACCCCATGATTCTCTGTGTTCCGTTAGCACAAGAATAAAAGTAGCTGATCAGTAAGAAAAGATGTGTCCTGCCTGCTAGCTCTCCTGCATAAGGCTTGGGAAACTAACTCATGCCAGGCAATATTAAACACCCTTCAACAGCGATCTTTCCTTGCTTAGCAGAAACATTGATATGTTATTGTGATGAGGCTTGCACAGTTCTTGCCTAAAGCATTGCACATGATTAAACTTCCATCTGTTCAAAGCGAGCTGTGAATTCTAAAAAAAAATAATTAAAAAATTGATGATACTGGGGATACTTTCCATGTTAGTCTCCTAAATATGAAGTGTCATCAGGCATGAGGTAGTTGATACCCTTAGTGAGTACTGTAATGACTAAAACGCATTTGTGAATTGATTACTCCAGTGTGTAATTATTTTTATTTTTTTGAAATATAACTAGCTTTTTCTTTTGCTGTGGTCATGAATTTGAGTGTGTTATTTAGGAATGATATAAAGCAGTCTTTCTTGTAAGTGATTCTGAGACTTTTCTTTAGATATCTAGGCAGATGAGGTAAGTTTTGTTCCCCATGCTTTCTGTTTCTCCTTCTTTCTGATGTTTTAAGTGATAAGAATGTGAATCCTAAGGTCAGGTGTATGTCATCTTGCTTCAGGCATGTAGGCTTTCGTCTGATTGAGCTAGCAACCCTCATCTTTTACTATAAATATAGATATGTGAATACTACCAAAAGTAATCAATCTGTTCCAACTTTGTTGCCTGTCTTAAGAGGAGATGAAATGCTGAATGTTCCTACTTTTCTTAATGCTTGAGGGAGCATAGGGTAACAAAGGTCCAGCTCAGATATCTTTTAGATGCCTAAGTTGAATCTTGTACATTCTGAAATATTCTGTGTAGAGAAAGAGGACAAAGAGATAGGTAAGATGAGAGTGAAAGTCAAAGGAATGGCTTATTTTAAACAATTTCTCCAACATATTTAGAGATCTACAGTAACAGAAGCATCTAGCGTCTTAGCAGAAGGTAGATGTAGCCATTTAATACACAGGCTCTGAGTAAAGATTATAAACAGTTGCATCAGCATCCTTAAAAGTGAATCTTAATGTTTATAGACACATATTCTCTTGCAAAACAAAACATAAAACTCATCCAGGGAAAAATGTGGATTGGTACTGAAAACTGCTCTCAGGAAGCAATTGAATTTAAATTTTATCTATGCAGTAGCTATTCTGTTTGATTCTGTTAACTCATTTAAGTTTCATACAAAAAATATAACCTCATCCAGTCAGAACACCCATAATATAAAAAACAGTGGGTGGAATCTGGAATTGAATTGTTGCTTTAGTCACCTTTAGTTTTAAAAAAAAAAATCGTGTTCCTGGTGGCTACATTTAATACAGAGGAATACTGTGTATGTTTGTAACCTTGTTTATACATATAAATGCTCTTAAAAAAAAAAAAAAAAAAAGAAAGAAATGTAATTTTTTAAAACTTATTTTTATTTTTGCAATTCATGAATTCTCAAAGAGATTTTCTGAAATCTGTTTAGAACTTCTGAGCATCAAAATTATACACAAACATTTAAGCTAACTGGTAAATGTGAAAACATATAAAATTAAACCAGTCTGGTTTATATATGTTTTTTCTGAGATACCATCTGAATACTAAAGAGAGGAAAAGAAAAACTAAAGCAATATAGTTTTAAGTAATCCTGAACCTTAAAATTACAGCTCTTCACGCTCCATCAATGAAGTTGATACCTGTAAGATTTGCTGCTGCAAAGCAATTTGGGCAACAGATGATTGACGCTGGCTCTCTGTATGGCTATAGGAGGCAGGAATTTCTTTTAAATACTTAATGAGGTGACCTGTGTGGTGTAGGAAGGTTGTGTGAATTGGACTAAGAGGGCTGCAGGTTTCCTTTGTCCCATGCAGCTGCTGCAGTGGCACTGGTGCCCCTGGGTCAACAGCTGTGACGAGCATTGGCTGTGCCATGTCCCGGTCACACACACCGGCACACTTGAAGGTGCTTCCTAAACTAATCCCAATAAAATGTGTCCTTGTGTTGCTGCTGCTGCTGCTGAAGAGCTTTGTTGAAGCTTAGTAACAAGTAAATATTAGAATTAAACTTAGGAAGCTCTAATCACTTTGTTTAATATCCCCATAGGTACCGGAGCTTAAAACATTTCAACTATGATGTCTGTCAGAGCTGCTTCTTTTCTGGCCGTACAGCAAAAGGGCATAAATTGCATTACCCAATGGTGGAGTATTGTATACCAGTGAGTACCAGTTTATTGACAACCAAGGGTTTGGTTTTGCATTGTTTGAGGTCTCAATTTTTTTCATAGTCTTCTGCCACCTAGATAGTCTGGCAGGTTTTCTTTTTCATATGTTTAGTGGGGCTTGTCTTTCTACCTTTCTCTTTGGAAGTTGTCAGGGACTTTGCTAGTGCTGCTGATTACATGTGGGTGGTGTTTGGATTATGTGGGAATGGGTACAAGTATCCATCTCTGAGAGAATTCGAACTTTACATTTGTTTTGTAAAGACAGCTGGAATATTAAATGTAATTACAGTACTTGTATACTTGCGCACACACACTCTCTAAAATAGTGAGAACATGTCAGAGGAAAGGGACTCACGTTACTATTGCTATATCATAGTAAAGAATATTTTATATTCTACTAATGTACTTTAATATTTTTTAAGGTGCGTGATGTTTGCTTTCAGGTCCAACATTTGTTTGCTTCCTGAAAAATGTGGTTAGAAATATGTCATGTTTCATTCTGCTGAGTAATTACTGCTCACTGGGATATTTAAAAATTGGTGTGTAGCTGGGAAAAAAAGAAAACAGAATTAACAGTTTCTAATCAAAAATGATGTGAGGTTTGCTAAAAAGAATCAGTTTTACAACAGAGTATTTTCCTAATGAAATTTCAGATACAATTTGATACTGGTCATTTGCTTGCCTCTTTAGCCAATGTAGCACAAACAATATAAGCATATCTGAGACATATTTTTCTTAGATTCACTTGGGGTTTTTTTCTCCCTGTAAAGTTCTCTCAAACCTCATCTTTAGTTTATGTCATGGAGCAGAAATATTACTTTTTACTGCCTATAAGACACAGAAAATTCAGAAATGAAGGTATAAGGTATGTCAAAATAGATAATGCTGTCAGTCCTCAGAATCAGATACCCCCCTGGCTGCATTAGTCAAATATAGAGATTACATCTGGAATGGGGTATGATACTGTCCCTAGAACAGGGTAGCTTATTTCTGATGACTTCTAGGTTTTGTCTAAAGCAGAAGATTTGATACCAGAAAGAAATTTTCAGTTCTTGCTAAATATGTTCACATTGTGTAGCTGTGAACCATTTCATTTACAATACTGTCATACAGAAAAATATGTTCTGGAAATGGCTGCAATCCCCTCTGTCCCTGAAACTAGGAACAGCTGGTATTATAATGAAGATTTCTGTTACTGCTGCAAAAAGAATATAGTTTTAAAGCCATATTAAGTGCAACATAAGTCCCTTCTTTCCATGAAATATGGGAGGAATGAGGTGAATCCACTATGGAATACCAAAGGGAATAAGACAACATTCTTGATTAAAGTGAGTGAAGGAAGGCAAATATGTAGGAGGTGAAGGAAGGCAAATATGTAGGAGGTGAAGGAAGGCAAATATGTAGGAGGTAAAGGAAGGAAACTGGGGCAGTTTAAAGCAGAGCAGAATAAAAAACAGCATATAATTTAGGTGACACATAAAATTAGAGGTCCAGAGGTCCAACACTGACCCCTGTTAATTTGGAAGCTGAATATAGGAGTTTAAATTTTTCTAGGGTCCTGCTGGAAGTATGCTTTGCTAGCTCCTTATATGCCTGTTAGACTTCCATAATCAATACCTACATGCAATCCATTTTTACAAATCTCATCTGAATTATGTTCAGAATAAAGAATTGATTTCACAGAAAGAATCCATTGTTTTTTATCAGTATTTGTAATAATGTTCTGCATTTGGTGTACTTATTTGTTGCTAAACCTCTACATATTGAACTCATTTAATGCAATAAAATATTCCAGAATTGCAGAGTTACTAGAATAGCTTATGTTTAAATGGAGTAATGGCCAAAAATTAGCAAGAGAGCTGGGTCTGTGGAAAAAAAAAAATAAAAATAAAAAGAAGGTACTAAAAGCCAATGAATTGTTCTTTAGAATCTGTTATATTATAGTACAGATAGCCTGAATAGGAAGAATGCTCTCTTTTCTACCACATTAAAGGCTATTGGTGTTAAAAATGTTACTTTTGTGGTTGATGTTGCAAAGCAGAGTACAAATACATGTACTCATCAAACTGCACTGATAAAATCTAGGGGTTTTTTCATACTGTTAATGTATATTAATGCATTAATAACAAGAATACTGGCAATAATTAGGGGAAAGAAAATGAATCCCTGGTTAGTAAAGCTGGCATTTAGAACTGGAGCTTAGTCACAGATGGAGGGAAGTCATTTTAATTGTCTTCAGGTAAGCATTTCAGTGTTAGTGTATAAAGGGATTTCTCAGAAGCTCAGTTACTTCTACTTAAATTTAAAATTATTTGGAGACAGTCTAAGGAATCTGTTTTTAAAATTAAATTTGCAAGGGGATAAGTCTCCATTTTAATGAGTTTAATGATAATTGCATCAGGTGAGAATTGCTTCATAATTTCAGAATAGGGCTATTTGCACCAAATATATGTGTAGTTATTGCATTCTAATCTGTAATGCCATTTAGTATTCGCCCTGGCTTGCAGTTTCGTTTTCTTGATGCTGGAAATGCAGAAATTCAGTTATGTCTGTCTTTTTTTTTTTTTTTTTTCCATTCAGGATTTAGAGATGGGTGAGGTAATGAACTGAAAACATTACTGTTTCTAAGCAGTAGAAATGCAAAGTCATTGTAGTTATTGGTAGGGTTTTTTTCGCCTTTACTCTTTCTCTGAAAAGAAGGAGAAAGAGGATTTTTTTAATACAGATTTTTCAAAAGACGTGTAAAATTTTTGTAAGATTTTCCTAGCATCTAATTCAGGAATACGGTTACATAAGTACCTGCATGATTTATTTTTAGCTTTTTTGGAATGGAAATTCTCTCAGTTCTCTCAGTAGTCATACTTGTGTTATATCAGTGGTTGTTTGAATTTCAGACGGAAATAATAGTTATTGCTCCAGGTTTTTTTTCTCCAAACTGTTTCCACTTCACAACTCCTGTATTCCACAGTAAAGCTATAAAAGCAGCTTTTCTGAGGTAATGTACAAATATCAATCAGCAGTTCTGAAAATTTTATTGTTGTGAGTATTCTTATTTCCTAACCTCAGTATGAGTATAATCAATTTTTGTAGTTCTGTACCACTACACTCACCTGGCACAGCTCCTTTTTTTGGGAACTGTGTATTTGTAGCCTTTCTATACAAAATGATGGCAGCAAAGGTTAGCCCCTTCATCTTCCAGATGACCAGTATTTTATTTCCCTGAAAGAGCTCAGAATGTGATAGGCAAGACATCAGAAGTTATTGGTTGAATGATAGTTCACCCTAGACTGAAAATTTCTTTTCAGGCACAATAAAGCTTATCTGCAGTAGTGCCTATGAAGACTTCTCCTCTAGATAAGTCATCTGAAAATTTAATTATTACTGACATCCTGAGAAGACAGATATATTCCTGAACACTAAGCGGCCTCAGTGTTTTATAAGCAACAAACTGACATAAGTCTGTAGTTTCATCTTAACATACTTATCAATGCACCAAGCATGATGCTTCACTGTTATCAAGATGAGACTGTTCTGTGGGGAAGATGAAACAAAGTATCAAGAATGGTTGAATCTGGCTATTTTGCATGAGGAACATTGCTTCCAGCTGTGGAGTTCATAGATTACCCTTTGCCTTGAGAAGAATAGCTATGTTGTCAGGGTGGTCTTTGATATGTAGCAGCTGGACAATGTGCTTTCCTCTAGGTCTCATTCTTATGGTTATTCAGATAGCTGGCTTATGTGATCTGCTACCCTTTTGCAACTTAATTTGTTAAATTCCGAGATAAATTAGTTACTTTTGAAATCACAACGTAGTTTCACTGGAGTAAACTAAAACGGACACAGTTTATAATCCGTCTCTCTGTGAGAAATTGCTGTAAAATGCCCCTATTTGAAAGTGGTCACAGAAGGATAATCTTCACAAAGTTATGCAGTGCAAACATCACTGATGTGGCAGTGACAGCCATAAATACAGTTGTTACATCTGTAATAACCTAATTTTTGTGGTATCCTTTCTCATGCCTCTGTCGAGGGATGTGAAATGCTTTGTTGAATGGGAATGAATGTATGCACTTAAACTGGTATTTAAGTTACTGGTGAATTGTATTCTTAAGTGTCAAAAAAGAATGGAGGAATGAAGTATCTGTCTCTTTACCTCTGGGGAGTTTGCCAGCCTCCGTGTGGTACCTAGCTGACAGCTGCTTGAAGATGCAACTATCATCATACCTGCACATATCGTAGCTCTTACCCTAAGTGGATCTGAGAATTTTGTTTTCAATCCGGAACAGTCAGGCTTATGGTACAAGTTATACCAGATGTTACAAATAAATAAAATGTCAAGAAATAAAAATATGGAGATGTAAAAAAGGGGTTGGTTTGTCTGTTAAACTGCAAACCTTAAGATTTCCTAATGCATTTGAAGAGTATCAAATTCAGATATCCCTACCAGGGCTTCTATTAAAGAATCAACTAAAGCCCTTTTAAATGACATAGATGTCATTTCTATTTCTATACTCATGTATATTAGAACTGCTCTTTCTTTTTATGTTAGACATGGTATAAGAAATGTAATTAGGAGAATGATGACTTAAGTGGAGAGTAGTCTTTTTACATAGGTAGGTGCAGTGAAAGCAATGGGAAATTGGTCTTTCATTATCACTTACTATTTTTTCTTTGAAAAAAAGAGTATAGTGAGAAATAAATATAAATTTACAATAAATATTGTATATTCTTTATTCACATGTTTTTTATATTTATATTTATTATAATCTTTATATATGAGCTAATTTAGAACTTTCCATCTGGTTTATTACATTCTTGGTGGTGCTTTCTCCCAACAAAGATTTGTTCTATTTCTAATATATTAAAATTGTATGCCAACTGGGTTTTTTAACTTACATATAAAAAATATGCCTCAGCATATTCTCTTTTCCACTGCTTTCCATATAATCCCAGTTTCTTAAATTTGTATTGGTTTCGAAGGAATTTTATCTGGTTTTAAATTGTGACTTATGACTCCACTTGTGCCTGGCTGGTATATTGAAGAGTGCTAATGCTGTTTTGTCAGTTTTTACAGATTTTTGCCTTGAGACCTTCCACTACAGATGGTTTTTTAGTTATTTATATGTGCCAGCCATGGATCTTAGTTATTCCTTCCTGAACTTTGTCTTGTTCTACAAGCTGACATTTTAAATCAAGTTTGAAAGCATGGTCTTTTGGCTGAAATTTTCGGTGAAGGAAAGGATTTTTTTTCCTTTGCTTCCAGAGCAGTTCTGTAACTATGTTGGTATTTCTGCTATCGATTTGTGTGGAAATAGTCAAGATGTCATTATATAAGGAAGTGTACAAGCCACCTGTTGGTTTTAATTTAGTAGATAGTTTCTATACAACAGTACCTGCCCATTCCTTTTTGAAAGTAAAATATTGTAGTACATTTCTCTCGGCATAATTTTGGATTTGATTGTGTAGTGTGGTTATATGCAAAAAAATTAGATTCCAGGAGTTGCATCTTAGTTGTATGTAAATTAAAATAGTTCTTCCAAATCTGCTCAAATATCACTGGTTAGTACTTATTGTCGTAAGTCAGTACAAATTCATATTAGTCTTTCCAAGGAACTGGGTCAGGCTGTCGTACCAAATAAAGAATACACCAGAGGAAAAGTTTGGCAGCTCAGTAGACATTTATTTCTATAATGTGTAGGTACTAAAACTTTCATTCCTTGGCTTTGGGACAGAGTTCCATCTGCTGAAGTTACTGTTGCGTGAGAACAAGCAGCCCTTTGGGCTGCCTCATGTTCCTTGTTTGGATGATGCAGTAACTGGAGCAGATGCTTTCTGAGAATGATTTTGTGAGCCCTCCCTGAGTTCACCTGTATTAAAATTTGGGAGTTCAAACACACCATAGTCCCAGATTTCCTCAGTGTGTTTTTACTTGCTAAAGCCTCATGTAAGAAGCTCTTACCTACATAATTTTGATTATCTACTATTTTTATTGCTCGTCTGATCTGCATAACAGAGTTTGTAACTGCGTATATTATACATACATTAAAATACGTAGGTTAATAGGGAAACATTTTTATGTTTTGCCAATGAGAACATAATCAGAGAATAGTTCGCCTGCCCTGCTTCTAGGCCTCTTTGTAGTATGTAACAGAAACAAATCACAAAACTGAAGTCTTTCACTCTGTTTTCCCTATAGATATCCATCCACTTTAGCATCCTTTTTGTTAACCGGCTTCTCCCAAAGCAGAGGGTAAAGAGATAACAATTTGTAGTTTGTTACAGGGTTTGGGCTGAAAATCTGTAGAAGCCATTACAAATCTTCAGCCAAAGCAGGAGGTGAATAGGCACTTTACTGCAGTTACAAGAGGAAATGCTTAACAGTAACTGCTACACCTGATGGGAACCATTCTGTTTAAATACTCAGTATACTCTGTAAGCTCATAAACTTTAAAGGCATACCATATACTATTTCTCCTTCCTGCAGATCTCTTTATCGCTGTTTTCACCTTGTATTTTATGTCTGCATGTTTTGCTTGTATCCCTGCTTTTGTAGCAGAAGTTAACTGAACGGTATTACCAAAGCAGTGCTGCTATTGTTGCTGTGATTATTTCCAGTTAAACTGATTTTTAAAGTAGTTGCATCAATTTTAATTGTGTTCTAAAGAACAGAAATTCATGGGGGGGGGGAGAGGATGGGGCTAAGTGCTCAGTTTTGCAAGAGGCTGTATCAGTGTGGATCTGTAAAAAAGCTGTTGGGGTGTGGGAGTTGCCAGTTGTAACTTGTGAATTCAGACATTCAGACTTCAAGAATCTTGTGGATAATTTTTGTACGAGTCGTATCCTGTGGTTATAAAGAGGTGACTGAATCAGTCTGTGAGTTTGTTACTTCAGGCATAATTGTTCTTACTAGGCCTGCATCTGACTGTGCATTTGAACAATGCCTGTACCATAGCTGTCACTCCATCCATAGAGGCGTTTTTTTGCTCTGGAATGATACAGATAATGGCAGAGCCCTTTAGGAAGAGATCTGGTATCTTGACAAAATGCTCATGGAAAACTTTGATACAAAGTATCATTTAGCACATTCTCCTCCCATCCCATGATGAAGTTTTCCAGGTCAAGTATAGAATGGGAAGCAGTAAGTCCCACTTTGGGAATATAGAGAGCTGTGTTTGGGGGGGGGGGGGGGGGGGTTGGTTTTTGCTGGTGGTGGTGGTTCCATTTTGTTTGTTTGCTTTTTTTTTGGTTGTTCGGTTTTGTTTTTTATAAACCAAGCCATTACTGTTAGCTGAATTTTTTTCAACACGGCCATTAACAAGTTTTTCTGTTAGTGCTGTTAGTCACAAGCTTCATGTGTAAGAGCACACTGTCAAGATTGCTTTCAATGGCTAAGAGTATCCCTTTGTAGCTGGCAGTGACTTGTCTTTTTTCTGACAATATAGACTTTTTTGTGTTTTGTACGACTGGTTATAAATATTTAGCTGAAGACTTGAACCCATTTAATTTTCTCTAATTTATGAAGTAATTGGTTATTCCAATGCATTTATTGGAATTTGAAGCCTCATTGTTCTCCGGTAGGAGAAAATTTGTAGATGCATTATTATTACTATTGTACCATATTTCAAGGACACTACATGGCAAGGGAGGTTGGAACTAGATGATCTTAAGGTCCTTTCCAACCCAAACCATTCTGTGATTCTGTGGATCTTAACATCATTAACATTTTGAAGTTTTTCATTGTATCCTTTTTCAGGACAGTAGCTGCATTATTATATCAATGCTATTTAGCAATGTTCATTTTTCATTTCTTTTAACTTTTTAAGACAACATCTGGGGAAGATGTACGGGACTTCACGAAGGTGCTGAAGAATAAGTTCCGGTCGAAGAAGTATTTTGCAAAACATCCCCGACTTGGCTACCTACCTGTGCAAACAGTATTGGAGGGTGACAACCTGGAGACGTAAGCTTGCTTATAGAGTAATTGCTGCTGGGATCACTGGCCTATTTCATTAAAAACGAAAAAGTGAAACCTGAGAAATAATCAAGAGCAGTTGTAGGGCCTGGGGCTGTATTATTTTCTGTGAATTGCTTTGCATTATTTGCAGATCTTCCCTATTTTTTAAAAAGTAAAATATTTCATACTTTGTTTTTTCGTAATCATTTTATCATAAAGCCATGGACTTTAGCAGGTCATGTTAGACTGGGCTGAATGACTGTTTAACAGAGAATGCTTTTGGGGAGAGCGGGCTTTTGGAACTACACTGCTTATTTGGTTATGTCAAAGTCCCTGGAGTTAGAAATCTGAGCTAATTATGTTCTTGCTGGCTTCAAGAAGCATAGGTGGACTAATAAATCAGAACACTCTTAGTGTCTCCACAGTATTACTTATGGTGCTGGCAGAATTACTCCACTTGATTTACTCACTTGGTAGTTGTCAGCAAAGGACACTCTTAAAAGAGCAAAATTAAGATGTGTTGACGTGGCGCTAGAAGTAGTTTCATGGATTGACTCTCCTTAACACCCTTGCATCTGTGGTACTAGCGTGTTCTCTGAACATACCACTGCTTAACTAGCAACAGTCAATGTGAAGCTTCAACATATATGCTCTGCTTGCATGCAACAGCTCAGTGCCATTTTCCATGCTTTGTTTTCACCAGAGGACTGTGTATTTTATTAACGATAAACAAACAAAACCTGTGCATTAGCAGTTTAAGAAATAGGAGGAAGTAATCTGAAAATTGACATTACTGGTGGCCTGGCTTCTAAGGAAGCAGCACACATTCAAATGTTAAAATGTTACTCAGCAGTGCAGTCTTCAGCTACCACCAACACAGGAAAGCACAGCTGCTTTGATGTAATGAAAGCTTGCAAATGGTGCCAGAAACTGTAATGTCAAAAATGTAATCACAGGTCAGGATAAAACTTGCATGGTCCAGTCATGTGGGAAATATACAGATAAATTGCCAGCATCATGCTGAGGAAACTGCTGGTATTAGTTCTTTCCCCTGCAGGTGGCAAAACTCAGTAATACATTCCTTTAAACTAAAAAAAAGAAAAAAAATCCTAAATAGTCAAGTGTCAGAATGTAATATAATATTCATTTACCTCTGGTATTTTTATGCAGAAGGGAGATAAGCATTGATAACTTTTACTTATGGTGGGGTTTTTGTTGGTGTGTGTGTGTGTGTGTGTGATTGTCCCCCCAGTTTTTTTGTTTGTAAATATATTTTCTAGTTAGTTTAAAATGAAAGCTCTGGTACTTGAGCAGAATTCAAATGAACTGATTATGATTTATGAACTGCAGTTCAACCAACAACACAAAATATTATTTTTATTTAACAAAATGAAGTATGTAAGTCAGTCTCCTCTCTCTCCATGATACACAACAGTATCTGTTGCTTTCTCTTTTGGAGGTCTGTTGTTGCTGATACAAATAACCTGGGTGGGTTTCTGGTTAAAATATTTTGTGTTTCTCCAGCTCTCTCTGCTTAAACAAGACTAAAGTTTTTTTGTTTCATAGTTTCTTTCTCTCTTTTATGGTTTGTTTTGTTTTTTTTTTTTTGGGTCTTCCTTACAGTCCTATCACTCTCATCAGTATGTGGCCAGAGCAATATGAGTGAGTATGCAGAACCCCTTTCTCTGGAAAGCTTAATATACTGGTTGTTTTCTTTTAGCTGAGTAGCGACTAATCTGATGTGCATGAGCTATAGGGCATGGCTGACCCAAAACAATAACCCCCTTGGCAATATTGTAAATGAATTTATTTGTCATCAGTCTAACTTTAAAAATAATGTTGTTTATATCATGAGTTGCTTTAGACACTTTTTTTTTTTTTTTTTTTAACTAGTCCTTCCCAGTCTCCACAGCTGTTTCATGATGACACACACTCCAGGATAGAGCAGTATGCTACTAGGTAAGAGATGCACAGTTTCTCACCAGTACACTGCATTTTGTGATTGATTCCTGCAGAATTATAAGGATACAATTCTCTATAATCAGAAGTCAAATGTTTTTAAATCGTTAGCTTCTGAATAAAGTCATAATAAATGTAAAATAGTTGCATTAAACCTATTGTCTGTCATACAGAACTGAAAATATTGCAGAATTACATAGGTAACTTGTAGGCCTGTCGCCATGAACTAGATTGGTTTGAGATGCTTCAAAGCAGAGATGGGCTAAATGGCCCTAGTCACTTAGGAGCTTGTCCTTACCCTCAGGGGATGTGTTGGAGCACCACATCCCACCCCAGCCAAGGTGGGACCAGGAGATCAACACAACTTCATCATACGTGTTGCTTTCATTCATCTTCCTTCAAACCTGAGGAATATTAACAAATGCACAGATGGGAAAGCTTGCTCCATGATAAAAGATGACACCAAAGTTCCCAATTCTTTAGGGCCTTGCGCACTGCTTTCAAAAAGAAGTTTAAAGATGCCTATGACAATGCATAACACACTTGCAAAAATATATGTGAAATTAAGATATCTTTATAGTAAAGGAAATAGCTCTATTTGGTGCAGTCGAATAGATGTGCACATCATTAACTGTTCCTAGATTTTTATGGATGTGTCTTTCTGTAAATAAAGCATATCTTTCCTAGAAACCTGAAAAGACAGAAAATTTCTGCTGTGATTTTAAAGAGCTGTATGGCTTTATATATACAGTATAATAATCCAGTCCTTTTAGATTAATCCCTTCCAGAACAAGGAAGCATAGGCAATGATTCTCTGTAATTACACTGGTTTTTTGTGTTGTTTTCCAGGACTTGTCTGTCCACAGTGTGATGTTATTTGCCAAGCATAATTTCAGATGTTGCATGTGCTATATTTAAAAAGTATTCATCCTCTTTTGTTAGTCCAGTTTTATAAAATTCAAAAAGAAAACCATCTGTGAAAACATCTCTTTAACTAATTTTACCATGAGAGTTGTGGTGATGCTAATGATAATTATACTAGAGATAGAAAATATACTTGTTCTTTGTTGTTTGGCAAGTGGAATTAGTTAATCATAGCACAAGTTTCTTGTAAAAGTTGTATGGATTATAGGTTTTTGTCACAAAATCTAGGAGTTTATTCTTATTCATGTATACCAAGATTGCCATATCTGAGCTGTTCCTAAGCAGAATTGATCTTCACAGTCTCTGTTTAAACTGTGCAGTATATTTCCTGAAAGTCCTGGTCTTTCCCTGCCTTTCAGGCTTGCACAGATGGAAAGGACCAATGGCTCCTTCCTTATGGACAGTAGCTCCACTACAGGAAGCGTGTAAGTAACTTATGCTCATTAAGGCTGCCAGTAGCTTTGGTTGTAGATGCATGATATAATCTTCGTAAGTTGTAACACAGGACTTAGTCCCAGTGACAGTAGCTAATAAGTATGACCCCAAGGGTGCCTGCATAAATTTCATTATTCCAAGCACCAATTGTAGAAATATGTCAAGTTCACTTGATGTTGTAAGGGAACTCTACATTTGTCAACCACTCTGCTTCAAAAGTGTGGATATTGAACGTGACTGGAAAAAAGTCACATCTCTGTACAGTTCTAGTTGGTATTCCAGAGTTCTAGTTGGTATACCTTTTCTGCTTTATCACAGCATAAAGAAAAAAAATCCTTCTGTGTCAAAGTGGACGATGGAGTGTGTCAAAAGCTTCTGACAACTCCCAGGACAATTTTCTCGCTGAAAAATAAATCATCTGTATTTTGAAGCCTCTGCAGAGCCTAAACAGTGCTGCTGTTACTTGTTTCTATTTCATTTTGCTGGCTGCTGATCATCTGTTTATACTTGGATATATAAGCACAGTCCTACAGTAGTTTTATTGAGGCCATTTCTTTTTTAATTATATGTCACTTTTATTCTAAAAACTTTCACTAAAATACATTGATGAACCTGAGAAGCACGGAACCCTTCGAATTACTGGTGAATTAAGTATGGGATTTTTTTCCAATGTAAAAATAAACCAATGTTTTAACCTTGGTTCTATTAATTAAATCAGTATAGTAGGACTCTGTTTCTTTTAATTTATTAGTGAATATCATCATCCTTGTAATAGAGGAAGTATAAATTGTTCAGTTTAAGTTAGAAAATGCTATTCTCAATAATGTTTTCATTTAATGTTTTAAAACCTAATAATGAAATTATTCTACCTATGAATGTACTAACAATTTGTGATTTAAAATACTTTGCTTCAGAAGAGCACATGACCACCTTTAAATGTTTCCTCTTTCCTGCTTAATTAACTCTATTTACATAACTAATTAAGCTTTTTTCATGTGTAACTGCTTTTATGTGTTTCTGTCATTGGTGCACTCATCAGTGAGAGAAATGCAGCCAAAATATTCCCTTTTGATTTCCCTTCCAAAAAAAAAAAGCAAACCCACTCCATACTGTCATTTGGCAGGAAAGCTGGAAACTTCAAGGCAGCTAAATGCCCGTACGCTTGATTGAGCTGTTTATTTTGCAATTAATGAGTCTACTCATACACAAAGACCAAACAACCATCCATCCCAAAGGTAAAAGAGGGGTCTATATGCTTAATTTTTACTGGCAAATTACGTGTTGTTTTTAATGCAATTTCCCTGCTCACCTATAAAAATGACCTTTAGTTTAAGAAAAAGAATGAATATGGTAAACTTGTATACCAACATGTGAGAGGGACCTCTGAATTTGTGTCTCAGTCCTGTTGTCTTAATGGTACTGTTACACAAAGTATGAAGAAATTTAGAGGCCTAGGAGGACAAGAAAGTGACTTTGTGCCCAATGGCATCTTCCATTTTATTTCCAGATAATAGTGCATTCTTTTACTAAGGTAAATACTGAAACACTCCCAAATTCTGAAGCTCTGTGGTGTAAAATTTGGAATTAAACTTACTGCCGTAGAATCTTCTAGGTTGGAAAAAGGTCTTTAAGATCACACTTTAAGAGCCCAACTGTTAACCTAGCACTGCCAAGTTCACCACTAAGCTATGTCCCTTAGCACCACATCTACATGTCTTTTCAGTAGCTTCAGGGACAGTGACTCAACCACTTCCCTGGGAAGCCTGTTCCAGTGCTTGACTGCCCTTTTAGTGAAGAAATTTTTTCCAGGGATATACAGAGCTCTGAAGTTTGGATCCCAGTTTGGGTTATATGTCACCTACAGCTGGAACATTGGGAATTTAGGATTATAATTCAGATCTATTTTTATTATATGAATGCATTTTGACATAGAAACGAGCATGGTGTAATCATTCTATATAAACTGAATTTGAAGGAGCAATCTGAAATGTGGATGAACATTTTTTTCAGCTCAGGTGGAACTCATAATTGGAGTTCTGTTCTCTAATCTTATTTTTATTGGTGTTCAAGATACCTTCAGTTTACTGTGAACATAGAAGAGAGTCATAGTTGCACAAAGCTACTGCTTTGGTCTTGTCGGGTTCACAAGTTAATCAACACTATTTTTAACACTCTATGCTCCAAAGAGTATGTGTAAGAAGTTTTCTACATCTGAATGACAATAAGATAATTTCTGATGTGAGTTAAACATCATGAGGGTGAGGTTTTTTGCAGGAATGTTTTGCAATGTGTCATTTGATTGAGAAAACATTCTTCAAGAAAATTTCTTGGGTTTCAACTAACCTGTTGTGTTAAATGTCATTATGACTACTTCTGTCTCCCTAACTAAGCTTTTCGAACCCTAGCCTCCCTTAAAAGTGTATGAATTCAATTAAAAAACATATTTTTCTCAACTGGAAAAATATTTGTAGATAGTGAAGAAAAGTCATAGTCCAGTAAATCTAGCTTCTTCACAAACATTCTAATGCTCTCATGCATGAATTTTCTGGTTTAAATATGTCAACTGAAAATATTTTTCCTTCATGTTGTCTTCTCTATATATTATGGAGTTCTAAATGTTTAGACTAGACTGTTGTGATGAATTTTCTTTGGCTTTAATTCACGCAAAAACATCTGTACCTTTAAAGCAGACTGGCCTCTTGACAAGTGAAGATGAGCAGAAGGAAAAAATGAAGCCTTTGAAAAAAAGAATAGTGTTGCTAACAGAAAGCTGTGCCTCACAATTTCATTGAATCACAGAACTGTTTGGGTTGGAAGGGACGTGAAAGATCACCTAGTTCCAATCCTTTGCATTAGACCAGGTCGCTCGTAGCCCCATCCAGTTAGGAAAATAGGACAAGAATGTAACTCTTTTACGCCTGTAATGTACAAAGTATCCCATCTAGCCCATACTGAAGTTAATTGACCTGAAAGTAGTAGAAATCCTTTCTGTATAACTCTGTTTAATATCTGTTTTCTGATTAATGCCTTTACTACCAATGTCTACAACACAGTTGATACCACTTTACACCCATCTAAAGGTAGAGTTGGAACACACCTGAAATTTTGTTAGGGAGATGTCACTCAGGTGCAGAAGTAGAAACAAGCAGTGAAGGCCAGTGGTACTTTTAGCTGGCATTGCCGCGTAGTGTGTCGCAAGTCAAATTGGAGCCCCAGTACATAGTATCTGAATACTTTGACATGATATAAGTGGTTAAAAGGCATCTTGTCACAATGAGAAATTAGTTCCACTTGATGACGAAATTAGGAGAACAAGTAAGTTAAAGCATTTTGGAGTACTTTCTGAACCTTGTTCTCAAAGCATTAGTAGGTCAAGGTACACTTTATTTTGACTAAAAGGCATGGTACTTAGTATGAGAGCCACAGGAAAAATGAAAATGATCAATGAAGGAGGCTCATAACTACCCCCATTTTACCATCTGAAATCTAATTTTGCAGTTTTCTTAATGTTTTAATCATTAAGAATCATTAAAATAATACACTGATGAAAATTGCCTGTTGGGAAATCTGAATTTTTCTTCCTATAGTGTAATCTTGAGGCAAGGGAAATTATATTTATTTGCCTTGCAAATAAATTTTTGCCTCTTACTTCATCCATGCATAATGCATGTTTTGGAATAGAACTCTTGAAAATGTATATCCAATCTATATCCAAAGAGAAGGCCATTTTTCCTGGATTTCCCTGTTGGGGTGTTCTTTTCCTTTGAGATGTACTACTTTTAAGTCTGACCTGAGACATCACTTTTACTGCTTTCTACTGTAGTGAAAAGCTGAAAAGGAACCGAAGTCTTTGCTGCTGAGTGACTTTGTGTAATTCTAGCTTTTTGTCAATGCATGCAGGGTCTTCGGGATAATAATCACCATGAAACGATGAGGAATGTATTTTGATGTTGTGCTTTTATTTTGGTTGCTGATTGCCATCTCCAACCAATTCTGCAGAAGAGAGCCAGGATTCTCAAACTGAAAGTGTTTGCATGGCATAAAGGATGTGTCACTCCCTTATGTTGTAGGACATTTTGAAGCCCTGCCCTGGGACTCCTGTGTTACTAATGAATCTGTGTTAGTTACAGCCATGAGCTTTGTTAGTGCAAATTCAAAATTCTGGTTTTTTGAACCAGTAATTTTAAAAGACAGAAGTGAAACACATGGTAAAAATACATTTTTTCTTCAGACTTCGTTTATCAGGCATTTCCTTCAACACATGAAAAAAATCCACTTTCAGCTTCCAGGTGTGATGCCTGAAAAAAGAGGGGTCAATATTCAGTCTGTCATGTACAGTTTCTGAGACTCTGAACCAGTGGGGGAGGAGGGAAATTAAATTTTCTCTGGACAGAATAACTGGGAGTCCAAAATATAAAACTATCTGTATTTAGCTGTGTTGATTGCATCTACTAGACCACAATACAGCAAAACTATCTAAGCATTTACTGTGTAAACTCTTTTTTTTAGGGAGTTTATAAGTTTCATTAAAAAATAATGTTACACCTAATGCAAAATCTTGACAGAGTATCAAAATTAACACATTCAAATAAATATAATAAATCCAGCTTTGCAGATCCTTGGTATAAATAAAAAAAAAAAAAAAAATCAATTTCAGAAGACCTACGTAGTTGTTTATAAATTAATTCGTTATCTTACAATGTAGGCAGCAGTTTTTTGATGCTTAATTAAACTAACGAGACTTAAACTACTTGATCACATGAACCTTTCTTGACAACATCAATACCCTTGCAGAAAAGAAGGCTGTATGTGTAGTTGCACTGTACCACTTACATTATTAAAACAGTGGTTTGAAACCTGGATGATAAAGCTGTATTCTCTCTGCAGTCTGCTTTAATACTCTTATTTCTGTGCATTTCTTGTTAGTAGCCCTGCTGTGTACCACAGAGTTTGAAGCCTCAAAAAGGGTTACATCACTTTGGCAAAACATTGGTTATAAGGGGTTGGTTGTTTTTTGTGGGTTTTTTTGTCAAGATAGTTAAAGGGTGGAGAAGTACCAGGAGGTTTTCATGATCGCATTAGGACCTGATCCAAACTCCATTAACTGCACTAGCCTTTGTTTTAGTTTTAACTGGACTAATGTAAAATACAAAATGAGTGATGATGAGTTTCCCTGAGATCACTCAAGTAGTGAAGAAAAAGCAGTTAGAGGCTTTTTTCTGTAGGCTGGGAAAAAAAGGAGCACTGTTCTGGTTGATTTTTTTTTCAGCTAACACTATTAGATATCCCCTATATTTTGGGGGGACTCAAATGCACATACAACCTCAATCACATTTTAATTATATAGCTGTACTTAATGAAAAATTCATTAAACTTATTCATTTGAATAGGAAGATCTATATTGCCATTTCTTCTCATGACTGTAGTACTGACTACAACCAAGACAGATAAGAAATAAGTGTACATTATTGCCTTTAAACTTTTGATTCATTGTTAAAAGGAGAATTCACTAACTAGGTTCCTTTTTCAATTTTACATGTGAACTTTTTGCAAACCAGGAGTTAATCACAGAAGACAGGATGAAGGAAAGTGATATGCGACTAGAGCTCTTCATACCTCTTTTTAACCTTTATATCATAATTAACTAATGTGGAATGGACTGCCATGAACTCTTAAAGTATATAGAACTTTCACAGGCTATAATTTTTTTGTTTGGTTGGTTTTGGTTTTCTAGATATAGTGTTAGTTGATGCATGTTAGTTTTATTGTAATAGTCTAGATTTTCAGATCTCCACGACAAGTCAGAAAATGGAAGACCACATCATAGCTTTAGGCAGATAGATAGTGAAAACTTATAATTGAGAAGAAATAGTTTAGTATTCTACCATATGACACTTCATAAGGTATGCAGTCTCTGTTTTGTAGTCAAGCAAAGAAGAGAATTTAAGGAGTGTTTTCTTCAGCATTCATACTGCTGCAGCAATTTATCTCTTAAAAACATGAATAGTTGTCATGGTTTAGACCCAGCTGGTAATTCAGCACTATGCAGCCATTCTCTCCCCCTCCCCCTTCCCCACTCCAGGCAGGATGGGGAGGAGAATCAAAAGAATGTAAACCCCACAGATTGGGATAAGAACAGTCCAATAACTAAGGTGTAATACAAAACTACCACTACTAATAGTAATAATTACAAGGGAAATAACAAGGGGAGAGAATATAAAACTCAAAGGGGAAAGAAAAAAACAACAATAAACACAAGTGATGCACAGTACAATTGCTCAGCACCCGCTGACTGATACCCAGCCTGACCTGAGCAGCGACCAGTCCCTTTCAAGTAACTCCACCCGATTTATATACTAGGCATAACATGCTGTGGTATGGAATACCCCTTTGGCTAGTTTGGGTCAGGTGTCCTGTCTCTGCTTTCTCCTGGCTTCTTGTGCCCCTCCTCACTGGCAAAGCATGAGACTGAAAAGTCCTCAATCAGGGTAGGCATTACTTAGTGAAGACTAAAACATTAGTGTGTTACCAACATTGTTCTCAGACTACAGCTGAAAACACAGCACTGCACCAGCTAATAGGAAGTAGAAAAAATAAATGTTACAGCTGAAACTAGGACAATAGTATATGTTTTGTTTGTTCTTGGTTTATTCTTCTTGAGCAAGTGAACTGCTTTTAGTACACGGTATCCTTCACTTCATATCCATCTGACTTTACTTAAGGACAAAATCCAACAACTGAGGAAGAAAGGCACACCTGTACACAAGCAAACTCATTTGGGCATTATAGCATAATTGAAAGTGTCAGGACTTCTGTATCTCCTTACCAGAAGGCAATTTCTATGTGAGTCAGGAGGAGGACAGCATTATAGTTTATTTCTATCCCTGAATCATTAAGGAGGAGGATAAACTACTCCTGAAGAGTTTCAGGGTGTCACATATGTCTATCAAAATGGGGGAAAACCCCTGGAAATATAATGCTAATTCAAAACCTATAGCATTATTTTTGCAGCATTGTCAGTCCTTTTGAGTGGTGCACAGTATTAGCTCGATACTTGGTGATTCATTAGTTTATGACTTCTTGGGGAATTCTATGGGGATTTTTTTCTCTCTAATTTTATTAGGTAAATTGAACACACCAAAATAATCTCCTAAAGACTATTAAAAATGTCCCCTATTCATGGTAAAAACCCCCAAACAAAAATAAAACAAACAAAACCCCTCTACCAGGTAGCTGCTTTGGTTTTATTTATTTTTGAGGCATTTCAAATCAGTCATCTATGGTTTATATTATCTCTAATTCTTGTTTTCACTATTTCTTTTCAATCCATCAGGAGCATTTGTTCTTTATGCATGCATTAAAATAATCTGGTCTTTTATACTACTGCAGATCAATCTTTTTCCTGTGTATTGTCTTAGATGTTAGTTGGGGTTTTCCCCAGTATATTTTTTAGGCTTATTTCCTGCTCTCTTTGTCCTTTTTTACAAACAAACAAACAAAACCCCTCAGCTTAACAAAGAGGTTTGCTCACATAATAAATTGGTTTGCTGCTCTGTCTTTACCTGTGTTGTTTCATTGCTCTAGAGAGGATGAGCATGCCCTTATCCAGCAGTATTGTCAGACGCTGGGAGGAGAATCGCCTGTGAGTCAGCCACAGAGTCCTGCTCAGATACTCAAGTCAGTGGAAAAGGAAGAGCGAGGAGAGTTGGAGCGCATCATTGCTGACCTTGAGGAAGAGCAAAGGTCTCATAATCATCCTATCTGGTGTCTGAATTGTCACCTCGTTGTTTGAGCCATGCATGTACTAGTTGTTGGAGATGACAAGAGATAGACCTAGGAATCATGATTTTAGCCAAACATATAAAATCAATCAAGGCATATGTTGTGCAGAGCCTAATTCTGTTACATAGAAGAGGGTGGGTCTGTCATAAAATACCTTATTTTCATCTCTGTTTTCTTGGTTTGTAGTTTGGGGTTTTTTACCCCCTAAGCAACACATCAAGACATGTCTTTGTGTGAGCTACTTGTGTTCTTAGATGGAGGTGATGATAATATCATTTGATCTAAGGAAGTTTTAGGAAGTTTGGGTTTTTTTTAATTTGCTTGATTAAGTCATCATTCTCCTCCTCTTTTCAATATACCAGGAGTCTGCAGATAGAATATGAGCAACTAAAAGAGCAACATCTTCGTAGAGGAATAAACCCTCTTGCTTCACCTCCTGACTCTATTGTGTCACCTCATCATGCTGAAGATGCTGAGCTCATTGCTGAAGCTAAACTTCTAAGGCAACATAAAGGTCGCCTGGAAGCAAGGATGCAAATACTAGAAGATCATAATAAACAGTTGGAGTCTCAGCTTCACCGGCTACGGCAGCTACTTGAGCAGGTACATGAGCACTGATGTTTTTCCCCTTCGTTGTTTCTGCACTATGGATTTCTTGGTGGAAACAAAACATTGGAATTTTACTGCAGATGTTTTCGCCACACTAGCTTGATCTGTTGCACTTAGTCATTTCTAGCACGAAGAGATATTTTTTCCTACCCTCTAGTGTAAACCATGGTGTGAAAGTCAAATCAACACAATATGATTACAAGTGCTGGAGTGATTGTGGTAACTTATGAAATATTGAGCATAACACAGAATCACAAACTAGCCCAGGCTGGAAGGGACCTTGAAAGATCATCTGGTCCAGCCGTTTTTGTGAAGGGGAGCCTAAGTGAGATTACCTAGCACCCTATCCAATTGCATCTGGGAAACCTCCAGTAAGCGGGACTCTACCATATCATAGCATCATAGAATAGTTTGGGTTGGAAAGGACCTTCAGACGTCATCTAGTCCACCCCTTCTTTAAATGAGCAGGGACATCTTAAACTAAATCAACTAGCTCAGAACCTCATCCAGCCTGGCCTTGAATGTCTCCAGGGATGGCGCATCTACCATGTCCATGGGGAGGTTGTTTCAGTGGATGATTGGTTTTACTATAAAAATTATCTTAAATATTATCTGCTTTAGAAGGGGAAAATGTAACCACTGGAAGGGCTTTGTCTAGGCCAGGCAATGGACAGGTTTCTAAAATCTAATCTTCCCAGAGCACTCCTTTCTGAAATGATCTTGACTTCCCCTGCAACCAGTAGTGTGGTACCTCATCATCTCTCAGTGTGATTTTATTATTACTACTGTTATTAACATGCCTGTGAGAACACAACTGTACCTTGGGTATGCTGTAGTAGGCTTTAATGAATTAAAAAGCAAGGGAAAGAAAATATATATATTTCCTATTCCAAGTATTGGTGCCAGTTGCACCCTATCTGCAAGTTCAGTTTTCCATCTTTCCTTAAATAATTTATCTGTTGTCATGATTAGTCACTGAAACCTTTCTTAGCATGCCAAAGGCAGATGGCCAAAAATACATCTAAAATGCAAAAGAGCCATTTGTTTACATTAAAAATCCAGTTCTTCTTCAATAGCATATTTAGACCAATAAGCTACAGCAAAATGATCTGAGCACAAGTAAACACAGAAGACAAGAACCTTTACCTGTCAGAAACTAGAGTTCTTAGGGATTTTTGGTGGGGGCAGAAATGTTGATTGGTTTTGAAGTTAGCATAGGCACATCTAGATTATAAAAATAAGAGCACCTGCAAGGTGTTGCTAGAGATGTTAGTTTGTACTATATCATGTGTGGAAGTTTGAATGATGAAGAGAAATTTATAAGATCGGTTTGTCCTAACTAATCATTTCACTTGGGTCAGAGTACAGTAAGGCGAATGATTTCTGCATTTCATGAGGCAGGTAGTTGGCTGTATGTAGTAGAGGATTTAACTAAGCCAAGAAGCAGATTGCATAAACTAGATATCAAAATGGCGTAAGCTTTTGCTGTAGATCATACTCTCGTTACACTGATAAAGATGTTTGTTTTTTTCTTTGTTTCACTGGCTGATTGTCATTTTCCTAGGCAGTTTTGGCTGAATTGCACTAAGATGCATCTGTTCCAGTGGCTTCTCTACCCCTCTAGCAGAGTATTTTTGTTGTTGTTACTGTTGTTCCATCATCTTTAATCAGTATTTGAGTAGCTTAAATATTGAATAGGTAAGATACAACAAGTGATGTAACTGTTAACAATAATTCATGAAGTATCTTGAGAACTATGACCAATACTAAATGTTTAGAGAAGGGGGTAAAATCTGCTAAGAAACAGCTGTAGAATAGAAAAACAGAAGTTCTGCCATACCCCCAGTCACTTTCAGCTTAGCACGAACATGCTCACTCTTTAAAACTTTTTTTTTTTTTTTTTAATGTAGCTATGGTTTATCTTATAATTTTGTAATCTTTTCAGTATCCTTGTAGCACTCTTAGGACCTTTAGTAGGGTAGGACCTACTAGTCCTTTAGTAGGATTAGTAGGACCTTTAGGGTAGTGTGATAAAGTGGTTGGGCAGAGGGGCAGTAGTTTCTTCTTACCAGTTCTGCCTTTGGATTTTTCTGGACATTCTGCAGCTTTTGGTTTCTGATAGGGAAAGCTAAATCAGAGCTGACCATTTGCAGTATTTCTGATCATTTACACCTCATTTACTGTATACTGTTGCTCATTTGTTCCTGTCCAAAATCTCCTGCCTTTGCGGGAGTCATGCCATGCTTCTGATTGTTTCAAGTGCCATATCCTAAGCTGTTCCTTTTTCTCTGTCTTTTAATGAAGTGGCTGGTACAAAGCCAAGTATACAGGAAGGTCTGCATTATCGCTTTTATAATATATCTCTGAGTTTTCGATATGCCTTTTTATATGCTTTATTTAGCGGGGTTTTTTTGACCTGGCACTAAGCAGATATTTTGCAAGCTGTCTCCAATGATGCTGAAGCTATTCTCCTCAACAAGATTCAGAAATTGTAAATAATTCAATTTTTTAGTATATGTTCTTTACAGCTTCTTTATTTTGACATTAATACACTTAAGAAGTGGCACTGAATCCCATTACTGCCCCTGAACTTTCTTAAAAAAATGACCACTCTTCAGCAGTTTGGTTCGGTCACCCAGACCATTACTGCCTATGAAAGTCTTTAACTTTTCCACTGCTTGGGGAAGGACTTTATCAGATGCCAGCTGAGGATCTAAGAATTTCTGCTTATTTTTCTGTTTTTGGCTGTCCCAATTATTTTTTATCAATATAAGGAATACCTTTTCTCATTAATGAGATGGATGATTGGCACTGAAGATTGGCACGTCAAAACCTATAACAACTCTGTGATTCTTGTATTAATAATTAATAGTATTTAAGGACACAATTGTTTTACAGCAATTTCTTTGCTATGACTGGCATTTCATAACATCTCTGTTTCTCTCTTCTGTCAACAGCAAGTCTCTCCATTGCTATTCTCCATTTAGCCTCCTGACTGTTCTTGGGTTAATAATTTGCCACTGAATCTAAAATGCTGAGACTTTTTTCCACTACAAGATATGGTGTGAGCCTATCTACACTCAGATATTTGGCTAAAGAATTAATGAAACTTAGAAACTTTCCTGCAGTAACTGTTTAATCTAGATGAGAGCATTCTATGACATTCTTTAGAGAGCACCTTTAGCAAAAATATGCATGCATCCTCACTGCACATTTCCCTACTTCAGGTCACAATTCTGAGGTTACCATACTATTTTTATTTCAGCAAGCCCAAAGGATCGGTAGCTGTCACACAACATTGTCGTTTTTGTCTGCCTGATTGATTATACTGCCAAAGAGGAAGGTGAAAAAGAACTGTCATGTGACAACTTTGATGCCAACATGTTAATCATACAGAGGAAAAAATAAAGAATCCATTTTCAATTTTTATTCTTCAAACCTTTTAGATACTGCATGTGCAAAGTAGAAGTTAGACCTATTATGAAGAGCATTTAAAGTCTGTTTGGATTTTTCTCTGCTAGTCTGAGCTACTGAATAGAGATTTCATATTGGATTTGATGATGAAGTTAATAGGAGCTAAAATCATCTCTCAGTGGCTACATGATCAGACTCTCAGAGTAAATAGGGACTGCAGCTCCTTCTCCAACTTCAAACAGAGGAGCAGCTTTATAAAAAGAGTAGAAAAGACTGTTTCTTTTGTAGCTGAGAGAATAAATATGGAACAAGAAGAAACCTCTGTAATAGATATAGTAAGGGAATTTTGGCAATTTTCAGGTTTCCTGTGATTTTTTTTTTGGGGGGGGAAGGAACACACCCCTTTTTGGTTTGATTTTTACCAAAAGCCACAGAAGTCAAGGGAAGAATGGGTATGTCTTATCTATTCATTAAGCCAGAGAACACTTCAGGCTTTTCTTTGGAAAAGAAACCAGTAGGAGGCACAGTGAAATAAGGCATTGTAGGTCTAAACTGGTTAAAATAAATATCTTCTTTGAAATGCTTTAAGTAACTGCTGTAATACAGAAAAAATACTTCAATTTCAGAAGAACTTATCTGTCCCTTCAGATCTTGGTTTTGCATAAAAATTCAAAAATTCACAGAAACTGGACTTCTCCCTCATCCCTATGGAGGCATGCCCAGTATCCCTGCTTCTATTTATTCAAGAAGCAGCAGCAGGCCTGTAGTAACATCTAGGGCAATTTTCTTATGATGTCTGGCTTAAGGGTTGTCTGCTGGGTTGTTCTGAATAAGAATAAATGAAGAACTTCGTGATGCTTGTAGGGACTTGATAATGAAAGTGATCAGATTTTGTAGGGTTATTCAAATAGGATCAAGTAGAACATGATTTTCTACGTTTTTTTCCTCTGGTTCTCTCCTAGTAAAACTGTTAAATCATGTAAATACATGCAGCTATATCCTCAACTGTTTTGCATTTGACACTTTTCAGTGTCTGATTATTATATTAAAGCATTTCTGCCACTAGCAGAACCCCCTCCCTTTCTGCTTCAAACCCCACTCTTCATCTGCTTAACTGTATTTTCCTGTTTTTTGGAAGAAGAGGGTTTTGGTTTGTTTTGGCTTTTCCTGTTACTGCAGTCACTGGAATGATGTCGTGTAATATCAGTATATTTAAATGAAAATTAAGTCATCAGACATTGTCCTCTTATTAGAAGGTGGGGGGGGGGGGTTGTTTGTTCATTTCTGGTGTCTGGGTTTTTTTAATCAGACTGAAATATTTCGTTCTGCCTGGTGCAGCAATATATGGTACATCAATGTAAATTTTTCCAAGTATGTTTTGTTTGCTCTCAGTTTATCCACTGTTAGAGTCCTTGGGTTCTGCGAGGCTTTTTTGTCATTTACAATAGTACTCCTGAGTGGTACTAAATAACCTTCACTACTAACTCATCATTTAAGTAAGTTTGTAGGCATCTCCTTTCTATCGTAGTTAATCTTGACTTTGCTGTGCTTCACTATGCTTGATCTAGCCTATGTGTTGCTGTGCTTCAGTTTTGTATCAAGCCCAGCACTGATCTTACTTCCTCATTTATCTCTGCACCATTTGTCCACGGTTACTGGTTGAAGAGGGACAGAGATCCAGACCAGGTGCAAGTTTGCATTTTAGATTATTCAAATTCTCTCTATCCATCTGTTCGTGGGGTGGGCAAGCAGCCACTCTGCTGATGGAGTTAGCCTTGTTGTTCTATACTGAAGTAACTCTTAACCCTTGGAGAGTTTGCTTCATCTCTTTAACATTATAGTTCTAACCTCTTCTTGAACAGAGGTTCCTGGCAATACAGAATTCCCTGGGGTTAGTTACCCCAGGTGTGGCCTATTTAAAATCACCACAGTTTTTTTATGTAGACTCTGCAGCTGGGTTGAAGTCTGATACTGAATAGCAAATTGCTTAACTACTTGATAAGCATTCACTGTTCATAGGAGTGTCCTGATGGTAAAATCCTTGGCTGGCTTGAAAACATTTCCATTTTTATTTGTCTTCTGTATGCAGAACAATATTCTTTGATTTATTCTTTTAGTCAAAACTGGAAGTTGGTATTGTCATGCTCAAAGAGAGATGAGATTTGGAAGAGAAAAATAAAAATTTGCTGAGGGCTCAAGGGAACATCTTCTTTTGTTTCTTACCAATGTGTATGGAAGAAGAAGTATCTTCCATTGTTCAGCAATCTTCAGTTTGTTGAAGATTTTTATTTTTTCTGTTAACTGGAATTTTTCTCAAAAAATCAAATGTTGCACTTAAGGCTGTGAGCTGCAAAGGAGCAAACTTACGCACAAATTAACTGCCATTCTGTATATTACCTCTTTGCAGTGACTCTCATAGCTGTTCTAGGTACTCATTCAGCCTCAGTTTTGAAAAGATCTTGAAAGTCATGATTTTGACTCTTTAAGTTGCTTGAAAGTAATTTGATGATATGCAATTGAAAGAGATAAAGGATAGGAGCAAGCATTTCAGCTGAGATTCTGTAACTACCTCAGATGTAAATACTATTTTACAGGTTTCTGTTTTTTCAGAACAGTCACTTCTGGAGTTCAAATACTGTATTACTACTTTCTTCCTCAAAGGATTCTTTACAAGAAAGAAGGAAAAGAAAAAAACAAATGGCTGAATAAGATCCCTTCCAATATTTATGAGTTGTTATTAGTGAAGAAGTCTTATGGTCTTTCTTATTTTGTGTCTATATATGCATACTTACATGTAATCACAAGCATATACATGGCTACAACTAAATGTAATATAGGACTTAGGTGTTTGACTCTTCAGGTGAATTTGAGTCCAGAAAGGCTTGCCTACAACACAGTTTTCAAAGTATATGGGTTCCTTCTCATAATTTCCTGGAGATTTCATGTTACACAGTTTCCTTGCAAATTTGGTATCCTCTACACTACTGTGAAACAGTGTCAGCAGGAGTGATGGCTAGCTACCACTTTTTAGGTATAATAAAGTTCTCTTGAATCTTTTGTGTTTGATTGTGAAGTAGTTTTGCATAACTGTTTATGAGCAAACAGTTGTTTCTAAGCATGATCAGTCATCCTAGTAAAGCTTCTCATGGGACCTTAGCTGAATGTCCTCTGTGTACATGTATATGTACATATATATCCATATATATACAACTCAAATAATACCATTGCATAATCTTTCTGTGTAGCTGGACTGAGTGCCTTGACAGACCATTTGTGTTGTACATAACATCATATTTCTATGGTGCATGCAAGACCATCAAGTGGAGTCTCATAAGAATTACACTTAAGTCTAAGTTTTCTTTTAACAGGTTGTTGGTTTAGTTTTTCCCCCTCTAAGGGTTGTATAGACCTAATTCAACTTTCAATAGTTTGAAAAACAAACAAGAAAGGGCACATAGCAAAGGAGTGGGATGACTACATACAAGCCCACAATTAAATTCTCTAGATAAAATTTATCTAAATTTGGGTATTATTGTCTTTAATGTAGCCTGAGTCTGACCCCCGGGTTAATGGCGCTTCCCCCTGTGCTTCACCCCAGCACTCTGCCCTTGGCTACCCGCTCGAGCAAGAGACAAGCTCACAATTTCATCAGACAGGTAAGTAAGTGTTTTAATCAGCTAATGTGCTTCATGGGTCTATGAGTGACTCCTGAATAGGTTTGTTGGCATCTTTCTGAAAATATTTGTAAGTAAAAAGGAACTGATCTTTATCATGATACTGAGAACAAGAGGTACCACAGTTGGAGCTGTTGCTTCCCCACACTTGCAAACAGCTGAGGTATCACAAGAATCCACATGACTCTGAATTATGGATTTCTGTCAATAGACTCCTTGATCCCATCCATTTTGAGCAAGTAAACCTACTGGGCAAATCCATCCTCGCTGATGGAGGAACCAGATTTCACTGGACTGAAACATCCAACAGCTGTTTGTCCTACAGTACATGCATGCACCCAAGAAATCTGTCGGATACAGGAACAAATAGCCAAAACAGCTTCCTGATAGCTGCTTTAAAAATTCTTGTGTATCTTCTGCTTATCCTGGTATTTTGATGATCCTACCCCTGAAAGATTTCACATCTTTTGGAATTACGGAGTACTTAAGCATACAGCCTCTGCACTTGAGGGGATTTCTTTCTTGAAATCTTCTTGAAAGATTATTTTAAATTCTCCAATATCAGAACTCAGTAATTCCACTGGGAATTAGCAGAAATAACTACAGACCATTGAATGCCCAAAATTAGGGGAAAAAATAAAAGATTTTTCTCAAATGACCTTAAGTGCAATTTCATCCCTGTTTTGGTTTCAAGCCTTTGTGTTATAGATTTTAAAAAATGATTTTATTTCTGTGAAAGCCAGGAAAAATATTCTCTTGCATACTGAAAATTTTCATTCAACATTGCCATGTGTTTTTAATTTATTTGGAAAAACATGGAACTTCTTTGAGTCTGATTTAATGCTGTGGTAAATTTATGAGAGATGCTGTCTAATGACACTGCCAGCAACAGAGCCAGCTGTATTCCTGAACCATTCCCTTGCATAATTTTAAGCAGCATGTAAAAAAGTAAATGGCAAGGAGGACTTTTAACACTAGTGAAATTGCTGATGCAATTTCATCCTAAAGAGAAATATTTTGTTTTGGTTTTTTTCCCCAAAAAAACCAATGATGTATATTAGCCTGAAAGGTACATGGCAAATCATCAAAAAATGGAAAAGAATTTTAATTGAGCAGCTACTGAGTATAATGCCCTCATCTTGTAAACCTTTTATTTTAACTGTAAATTCTTCTATACTGCTTCTTCTTGGCAATTTCTTCTAGTTAAATCTTGGGAGCAACGGTTAATCTCTAATAAAAGAGAAATGAGTTCTGCTGCAAATCAATAAAGTAACTTTCACCTCCTCTCCCAAGGCTGGCAATTATCACTGACAGTTCCTGCACATTAAGTTACAAAGGCTTCAGGTAGTGGTTTTCCAGTTAATATAAAGGAGCATTTAACTGGAAGGTTGGATAAGAACATCTTTTAGAATATTTTCGTCCTTTTTTTTTTCTTCCCCTCTTTTATCTCCTCTCCTTACTAAATTCATTACTCTCTTTTGTTGTCATATCTGCAGATGACTTGTTAGTTCCACCTCATGATACCAACACAGACCTAACAGATGTTATGGAGCAAATCAACAGCACATTTCCAGCTTGTTGCTGTAAGTGTAACAAAATACATCTTGTATTGAATTCTATAGTATTGAATTTGAGGCATTCTTTTGAAGAAAAACTTCTTGTCATACTGAGTAGGAAAAAAATCTCTCTGGTGAGATTACTTCTCAGCATACACAAGCTAAATAATTCATTTATTTAAAGCCGCTCAATAGAGGTTATTTGTGAAGGTAAACAAAGAAATGTTCTCAACATTTTAAGAAGTGATTCACTATAAGAAAAGCTCTATATGGAATTTTCAGCTGTGCCCACATAAGGAAAAAGAGACCTTGAATTTCATTAGCTGCTGATGCAAACTATGTAGAACATAAATGCATGTAGATTCAGGAGTTCTCTAATAAAACTTAGGTAACAGGAGGGACCATAGCCCAATCCTGGCTGTCTTGAACTAATTATTGAAGTAGTTATTAAACTAAGGGACCAGAGGAAATTACTGTTAGCACATAACACCTTTCCCTGCTTAAATGCACTGAAAGTTGATGTTTAGTGTCTATTAATGAGACATCAAAAGGAAAACCAATTAGCATATCAGCTGACATATATTTCCGCTATTCCTTCCAGAGTGTCGCTGCACTTACAAGAGTGAGGACCTGTCTCTCTGCTTCCAGCAGTATTTCATACAGATTGTTTGGTTTGGCAGGGAAAGTGAAGTGTCTGCTTTCTTATTTATGTGTTCATGTGTGGGGTGTTTTTTTTCTAATACATGCATACATGTATATTTTCACTTTCAGCTCTTTTGCCTTAGAAAACAGTAGTGAAAACTTTGATATATTCTTAAACTTTCAACAGTTTCAATGCAGTGTAATAACGAATGGTCAATTTTAAAAGGTACGGGTGAGAAGAAGGAAGAGGTTTATGTCCAGTCCTCTTGGAAGCATCAAGATTGAACTCTATTCTATTCTATTTATTTTGTGAACTCTGTGAATCCCTGCTAAAACACTCCTTTTTTCTTGTACGTCCATTGTTTGGCTGTGAAGAACTGCAGCAGAGAAGCAGCACTTTGCACATTCTGAGAAAGCAAATTATGAGCTAGCAAAACAGAGCTTGTTTCAGCTGTCCTTTAGAGATTTTTTCAGTGAGTTCAATAGTTCAGAGCCCATCTTTTTGCGAGTTAAAGGATTTGATTCTAAGAAGCATCTCATCTTGAACTCAACAGCTACTCAAGCTACTCAGCACAACTCAAGGGCATGTATGTGTGTGTACAAATCACTAGAAAATGCATCTCAAGTATCAATTTCTTGTTTTGCAAATTCCTGTCTTGCATGTATAAAGAGCTGACAGCTACCTGGTCATTTGGCCCAAATGAATTTAAGGCAAATTGCCCTATGTCAGGGCAAGCTTGATAATGATGGCTGTTCTCTGCAACCAGGAAACGTGGGGCAGGAGGGGGATGTAATATCCATTCAACAGTACCCTGAATAATACTCTCAGGAGAGAACTGCAAGTGAAAACTCTGGCTCCACATCCTTTCATATTGTGAAGTGAATCTGAGCATTTAAGATTAAAGAAGTCACAGTTCCAAATTTCGAGTATTTTTCCCTGTGTCACTGACATACTGCTGCAGAAAGCAAACCAAACCAGCATGCCCCAATTAGTAGGTACTACTTAGTTTGGTCTTCTTCAGTCATTCTGTAACATATCTTACTTGGGTGATTTACTAGGATTATATCTTTTTAACCATGTAAGATTCATATGCTGTTTTAGAACCCTGGAATGAGGATTATTAGTCTGGCCTTCCCAAAAGAGTGCATTAAACTGTATAAGTTTTGCTAGGGAAGACCATGACAGACCATCTTTTCCTATGGACGTTTGAGATGGATCAGTCTTTCTGGACAGACAAACTTCTAACCCGTTACATAAAACCTCAATGATGCAGACTCCATGTAGGCAATCTGTTTTAAGAGCATCACTGTATTCCTACCCTTAAAAAAATAATATCCTCATCCAAGTTAAATTTATTTAGAATGCCTTCATGTTAAATATATGATGTCCATTACTAATTTAATTTATATGTTAAGCTGGGTTGTTTTTTGGTTTGGGATTTTTTTATTTTTTTTCTTCACAAACCTTATCATTACATATCTCTCCCAGATTTCATTAAGGAGTTACTAGCATCTGAAGCATTACATAGGTTATTTTTATCTCATCTTGAATGTGCAACAGAGCTAGTCCTCTTATTTGTTACTTTTGTTTTTATGGGTTTCAGGTTATAATACACCTTGAAATCAGTATTTCTGCTTACTCCAAATATGTCTTATGAAGCAACTGCTTTTAACTGTGGTTTCGAGTTTGTTCTGGTATTTTATTCCTCAGATCCTTTGATTATGGATATAATGCCTCCTTTCCTTCCTTATTTATGAGGTTGGTTCACAGAACTAGGCAGCTGTGCAACACTGTGCAGCAGCCTTGCCTGTGTGTCTGAGTGTGTTCCAGAACAGAGCCTTCTGAACAGACAGTATGATAATACTCACTCATAGGTGTATATGGTCGCAAGTGGTGAAAAAGGAACAATTCATATCATCTATATATTCATAATGCTACTGATTTGTTAAAAGTAAATTTGTGAAGAAAGTTATGTACAGGCCATTACAACACACTTCTAGTTAAATCTTTAATTTTTTATTTGTAAGAGTCTATTTGTTCTTCTATAGTACATAGCCTTCTGACTCTGGCTTTGTTTTTAAACTGCCAAGATGTATAATAACGTAAATTTCTAATTTATTTTTTTTTTCTATTTTCAGCAAGTTTCACTGGCAGACCACAGGTATGAGACATCTTTACATACTTATATAGTCATTGGAAGCAAAGTAAAGCAAGTGGAAGGATTCCATTAAAGCAAAGTAGCTGGGGGCTTCTCCTGTCTTGTCCCCTAGAAGTCTATGTGGAAGCTAGACCAATGTAACAGGAAGGCTAGATTCTGGAATTTCCCAGTTAATGGAAAATTCCTGCTAGCTTGGGCCCTACCAAGGTACTATGTTGTGGAGTTCTGGGATGCTGACAAGATGGAATCAGCTTGAATCTACCAGGGCCAATTACTTTCAAGCCAACATCAGCTTGCAAGATCAAAGCTGGTTCTTGCAAAGTCATCCATATGTCCTTGTGCCATGGTGCCCATAGCTCCAGTTTTGGGAGCTGTGGGCACCAGGACACAAAGATCAAGAGTCACACGGTGTCTTAGGCATTAGATGAAGTTGCCTACTCCCAGTAGGCAACCACTTTGCAAATCCGAAGCAGAAATTTGGCTACTTTCACAAAAACATGGAAAACAATCTAGTATTTAGAGACTTCTACTTGAAAATCCTACTGATATGAATTAACAGTTAAATTTGTTATAAGTAACAGAAATAGGAAAAACACTCACTACAGGTTTAGCTTGATATTGAAGCCCACATATGACAAATAAGAAATGACAGGATCTTGTGTCATTGCATAGTTCTTAGAAAGTTTCATTTTGAAGTTTAACGATTATGACAAATTGCAGTGTGAGACTCCCCCATACTGCTTCACCTTGTTCATTAATCCACAGTTTTCAAGGTCAGAAAATGAATATCTAAAAACTCAGAATTATTTCTCTGCAAACACTTTCTTGGATTGAAATATCTGGGATAGTAGGATTGTCCTCCCAAACAGGAATTTCTAAAGAGAATGGGATGAATCACACCCTGCACTCAGTTAACTCAGACTCCGTGTTTCAGGCTCTCGATAAGTTACGAGACTGAAGTAAACTAATTTTTCAGAAAATCTTCCTCTAAGCAGGCAGAGAGAGAGCTTTCCATGTTATCAGTGAATAATACTCATCTTCCCAAAAAGCTTTTTTTTTTTTATTCTTTTTTTTAAGATCCAAGATTATTCCCAAATGGTCTTACTGCAAATCTACCCTTCCAGAATTATTAGAGAAGGTACTTTTGTCTATTCAGGAACAGAATCCTGAAACAGGAAACTGGAAATAAGCTTCACATCTGAAGGGGCAGAGTCCAAATCCAGACTCTGTACTCTCCATTTTTACTGCTTAGGTTTCAGATGGGACAGTAGTTTGCCTGAACTTTTTATTCTACTAGTGCAGGGCATGGACAGTCTATAAGTCATATTTACTGCTCTGTAGACTGACATCCTCTGGGCCTTACTCAACAAGAATTTTAAACACTGCAGTACAGTAAAATTAGGTTTCCCTTAACTACATGCCTCAGTGATTTGCTGTGTCTTGGGCCAATACATCTTAACTTTTTAAATATGGGGGTTTTATAAAAAGACATCAGTGTCCTTAACTGAACTGAGCCCAGAGCAGTAGCAGCTTTCTGTTTGTGTTAATGTGGTACTGACATGGTTATTTCTCATCATGACAGGCAATGTGAAGGATTCATTTGGATGTTGACCAGTGCTTCCTGATGTGCAGTACAGCCCTTTTCTACAAACCATTGATTGCAAGTTCCGCTTCATCAGAAGACTGCATGGGACCCCAGAACATGCTGTTTGCTCTGACCGCGTGTTCTACTTGAAACAGCAAAACACTGAATACCCAAAGATGAGGATGTTGTTTTTATAGTATCAGAAGTTTGGTTTTTTTCTTCTTCTTCCCTTTCTATGCAACTGTAAATTAATGAGCAGTGGAGTATTTGTCACTGATTTGTATAAATATACAACCAGGGGAAAAGGGGCAGGGGCTTTATATATGTTCTTTTTGATAATCGTAAAGAGAACTGCATAAGGAGTTTGGAGCAAAATGTTACATTTATACATTCCTTTCAGATCTTTGCTTTTACATTGTAAAAATACCCTTAGTTGTATTCTCACACATTTAATATCGTGTACTGATTATTTATATGCTAACCGTCTGACCACACAGATTTCAGAATACCTTGAATTGTTTTCAGGATTGGCATATGAAGTTCCCATAACCTGCATTATTGTTACTAGTTAACAGAAATTGCTGTTGGGTACAAGCTGCAGTATTTTAACTTTGTTAAACAAGGTAAACTCTCATTTCAACTCATCATCCTCATGCACCACCAAAATGGTATTTTTAACTTTTAGTTATTTCCAGACAATACACTCCATTTGGAGGATTATTTTTTTAAGCCTTACTTTACTTTGAATCGGGAGATAGCTAAAAAGAGGACTTAGATGATAGCTTAAGTTGTTTATAGCGAGGTCTAAGATAGTGTAATCTTTCCCAACTTTGTTCAGAGACAAAGCTTTGCTGTTCCCTTCTGTGCCAAACTTGCTTCAAGTTTTGGAATTTACAGTCTGTGAAGTAAAGCTCATTTCTGTAAGATCCCCTTCTTGTGTCTGCCTCTTGGAGATGAAGAGACAATTAGAAAGCCCTTTCCAATACTATTAGTGATGGAGCATTTTCTTAATAACTACAATGCTCTTAAATATTACTCTTTGGCATTGTAATCTTGCAACTCATCTTTATCTTTGAAATGATTTATTTATGTACTTTAAGTAGGGATAATTACGGGAAAGTTACATCACTGATCAGCTGATCTCTAGTTTTAAAATTGTTATTAAGAGATTTTAATGCCTTCAGAGTTTACAATGCTGCATGGACACTTGCTTTAATTTCAGAACATACCTTTAAGTGGTAAAACTGCATGCAATATATTTCATGTATAGTGGGGAGAAACAAAGCAGTATTGTTCTTAATTATTATTGAAGAAAAAGAAGATCTCAAAAAGGTATTGGAAGAGTTGCAAATTCTCTATTGCTACTGAAAAATGCTAGAGAACATTAGGACACCACATCAGGAATTTCTAGTGCTTTTGCAAAGTGGTGCCAACTAGGCTGCCGTGCACCCTCAGTATTTGCTCTCGGAGTGCTGCTGCTCAGGGATTAATTTGAGCGCAGCGTTGACTCCGGTGCCAGTTCTTTCTGAACCCTTTGACAAATTGTTTAACCATTCTGCCTCTGTTTTCCCATCTGTAAAATGGGGATGATTGATAGTACTTACCTCTCAAAAGGTGTTGTAGGGCTTGCTTAGTTAATGTCTGAAAAGCTCTATATAATTGCTTAGTATTACTTCTGAGCAAGTGCAGCAAAATTGTCAAGGTGGGAAGAGAAGATGCTGGCTCCTACAAATGCTTCACCTATTAAAAAATAGTAGTGTAGTTATATGAAGAAGAAAAACCCCACACATTTTACAGAAGAGGAAAGCCGTGACCACCTTTCTACCTCAGACCTAGCTTCATGAGTAGTATTGGAAATAGCTTTATATTCTGTTCTCTGCTACATATTTTGCTTTTATCAAGCTACATAATTCTTTAGGCAAAGAATCCTTGAAAATACTCCCCTACATAAGTAAAAAATGTCTCGATAGTGAATTTGGTCACTTTTATTTTTGTTCTGAATATGAGATTATGTATAAAGTTGTTTTTCTGCCTGTGTTTGTATGCATCCTTTGTCCTCTGCTGCCAAGTAAATGCTGCTTCAAACACTACCTTGTAACATTCTTCCTCTGACACAATAATAAATAAAAGGAATATATTGCAGTAACATGAGAAACAGCATGGAGTTCTTTCAAGTTCTGTGGTCTTCAAGGATGGCAATTCTCATTGCTAAATGCTGAAAGCTTCATTCTCAGAAAGATAATTTTTAACAGTATTCTAACAGGGGTTGGAACTAGATGATCTTAAGGTCCTTTCCAACCCTAACCATTCTATGATTACTATGTGCTAGCATTTTTGAAGCGTGGTTTGCATTTATATAAACAATATTAAGCAGTGTTTTCTCCCCACAAATCTGCACATACTTTATCCAGTTTTCCCTCTTTAATGATTTAGCCTGGAACACTTCTCTGTTTCATGACAGATAGATATAAAATTTGATCACCAAGAAGCAGACTGCTTGTATTTTTAAAACATTATACATACGTAGTACATAACAGCAATAATGCATGAAGCCCTGACAAATATTAGAACTGTAAATTAGTCTTCAAGTTGTGGTGGCATTCAGTCACTATGCTCAGCTGAAGCACAGGATTAGGTATTCAGTTAGGAAGTCTGAATTTAGCAGCCCTACCATGTGCTGATTTTAGATATTTGCATCAAGCTAAACTAATGCAAATTGGTTTAATGAGACTATGTTAGAACTGCTGTCTCCACAACCCTAACAGTTCTGGCTCCTCATAGTATTTAGTTTATTCATTAAAATATTACCCTTTTCAAACACTAACAAATTGTAAAACATAAGCATCAAAGTAATGATATTTTCCCTCAATTTGTGAAAAGATGCTTAAGTTGAAGAATTGGATTTTTCACATGGCATTTAAGTCATTCAGCAGTTAACAAGGGATTTTATTATAGAAGCAGCTATCTTCTATTGACTCAATTTAAGTTCTGTATTTAGAATGACAAATGTGTCAAAGAGGAGACAGCTAGATTAAAGAATATTAAATAACAAAATCTGTCTTTTTAAAAAGTAAACATTTTAAATGTGTGTTGTTAGAGTTGAGAAGGTGGCAGCAGAAGAAAGGTATGGATCTTTGTGAACAGTTTACTGAAGTGCTCAAATCTACAAAATACACCCTTCGTATCCTGATCTCTGAGGTAACCAGTGCCAGAGCTCTGTAGTGCTGTCACCTGTGAGGAAGGAACTCTCAGCTTAAAAAAATTACACTTTAATACTGTGCCATGAAAGTCCTGGCTCCCATCAGGGGAACAGAGAGGCACCTGCATCCTACCAGCTTGCCTGAGGCTTTTCTCGAGGGGGCTAGGAAGGGCAGTAGCAGGGCACTGCAGCCTCTGGTCCTGAACAAGCAATGCAATGGTATGCACTCCCTCACTTCTCTGCACAGCCTTTGCTTTGAGCACTAACCAGCCTTTTATGCTGCTGTTTTGTCAGGCAAAATAAAGCCACCATGATACTTTCTAGGTGAAGATTTAGGTTCCTGTCCCAAACAGGACTCTTTTAGTCCTAAATGCACACCTATCCATCCAACTGGGAGAGACTCCCTCCCGCACAGCCCAGAATGGATGGGGAGGTTGATAGCGTATTTGTTTACATTTTTATTACAAAACACCCTTGAGCTGAAACATTACTATCAGATCAGTTCATTTTCTCAGAGAAGATGCAAGATTGATGCATATAATTAAAATCAGAGTGCAGAAGTTTCTCTACTATCAGGGCTTCATCTTTAGGGGAATATCCACTATGAAACAGCTCTTCTTGGGTGGTCGTGGTGGTATTATTTCTTTCTGGACCAAGTCGAGGCTCTGCAGCTGTTCAAATGTCAATAAGTTAGATAGATAGATAGGTAGTTTAATTATGAGACAACCAGCCCCACTAGGTCAGAGATATTGGACCCAGACAAGAATTGTCAGCATGCACAGGACCATTCCTATCAATCACCTGAGTGTCCTGGGTCAGGATTTCTTTCCTCTATTCCATATTTCCGCAGTTGAAAAAAAGAGAAGGGAAAAAGAGCTGAATTCAGCCCAATTAAAATTGTGTTACTGCAATGGGCAACCTTTGGATTTATGCAAATGACCAGAAGACTCTTAAATATTAACAGTACAAATTGCCTTTTGGAGACAGTTTGCTTATTACATCTGTTTCTTTGTTCTCTGCTTTAGTTGGCCTAGGAGAACCCTTCCTGAAGGTAAACATTTGCAGCACTGCAAAACCAAGTAATAGATCCTGCCCTACTGTCACACAAAAATGAAGATGTTGTGCCATATGGCTGAGAATTCTGTTCCCAAAACAGCAGCAACAAAATCAGTCTTTACAAATCCAGCCAAGGTGTAAATTAATAACAGTGGGGTATGAAAAAAAAAAAGTTTAAACTTAGTAGAGGGAGGGGAAAAATAATAAAATATTTGAGCAGGAAGAGAACCAGTCCTTCTAACAAGCAAAAAAGCTCCTAGTTACTGTCACCCACATACAATGTTCCCCTGGCCAGCAAAAGTGAAATCTTCCTTGGCCTACATGTCTTCGGGATCCTATCTTTTGTCTTTAGTGCCACTTAAATTTTCCATGCTGTGCCAGCAAAAACTACACTCTTTGCAACTTAAATCTATGCATTAGAAAAAATGGCTGCATGCAAGCACAGCAGCTGCCTTCAAATGAGAAAGGTAGTATTCTTACCAACTGCTTTTCTAAGCACCTTTGTCTGAGACACCTATAAAGGAGCTGCCAGGAGCGACACCAAAATGTAGACGCTATCTGTCCTATCTCATTGTCATCTCTGAAACACAGTATTTACAGCTGAGCTATTCGTGCTCTCGTTAGTCACACTCTTTACACATTCAAATAAGCACTGAAAGTGTTTATGTTTTTGGCCTCTAATAACTCTTACCTTGGAGAAACTAGACTTCAGAAATGCTTATTTTCCAACTATAAAAGAAGAGTCTAGGGTAGCTAGCTCAAACACAGATGTCCATGGCTTACAAGTGTTATTTCTGGGGATAAAGCCCACCTCGGTATTAAATAAGGTAATGGAGAATGTACAAGTGTTTACAGTTTGGCATTAGCTAGAAAAAATGACCTGATTATTTAAACACCAAAAAAAACCAAAAACCCCCAAAAACCAACAACCCAACAAAAACAAAACAAAAAAAAAAAAAAAAAAACAAACACACAAACACAAACCAACCATACCAAAAAAACCCTAACAAACCCCAAAACCAAAAAACTGAAAAACCGGACAGCAGCACTGCAGCAACACTTCATCTGCACATGATGGAATTCTTTTTGCCCCCACGGTAAGTGGTACCTCTTCGACTATGATTTAACATTGTTGGGAAAAGAGCAAAAAGTAAAGGATAGGATCCCTTACCAACAATTTGTGTATCTTGCAAGCTAGATTTAATGGAATTTGGAAAAAAGCCACAAAAGTGAGAAAGACAATTCACCAGAATTTTATATGAAAATAG